TCCTGTTCTTTGTATCCATTGCCTGCCGGGCCTCCAGCAGTAAATCTAGCCTTGCTTGTCAGTTTGCATTGGAGTACACATTGCTTCATTGCTTTAATCTCTTGATAACCACCCTGTCATCAAATCAAGGGTGGAAACAGATAATTGGTTATGTGAGCCCAGAGGTTATGCTTCCTCTTTCCAAATGTAATACTTTGTCTATGTGCTTAGCATAATTTTTTTTTGAATTTGGTAGTTCCATTTGCCTTATTAACCCCCACCCCCCACCCCTGGAAACAATATAAAAGAGTAAAGCTCAGCCCATAGTTTAACTAGGATTATGCAAGCACATCCTTGAGTCTCATTTACATGAGGGATGGCAGTGGTCAGCTGGCTTAACTGCAGATGTGGGGTGGCAGACTACCCTGTTATGGGATCCGCTAAAGCCCTATGTGGTTGCTGTGGTCTCTTTCCAGCTTCTAACCTGGAGCTACAACCAAACAGGAAGTGATCTACTGACAGCACACGATACTCTCAAGCAGTGTCCCCGTGCTAATAAAAACTAGAGTGCAGACTTTTTTGGTTGTTACTGGAAAAGACTGGAAAGCAACAGTCACTTGAAACTGTAATATTTCTACTTCTGTTCAAATGGCTTCTTCTTTCTTTTGCTTGATAATATTTCTGAATCCTCTAATACTTCTAAAATGAGTTTTGTAAATTTCTCTTGCTATCTCATTGTTGAGTATGATATCCCTATGGTAATAGTGGCCAAGCTGGGTAGAAATAAAAAAGGAATGGGTGGGTGGGGTACACCCCACTGCAAGCTTTGGGTGAGCCTAAATCCTTGAGAGTGTCTTCTTCCAAAAACATGTGTTGGACTGGATACAGTTTTCTTCTGTCTTGTAGAAAACACTCTCCTGGAGGTGATCTGATTGTCCCAAAGCTTATTCCAGTTTCCTATTCACTTCTGGTTTTTGTTAGCATGGGGACACCATGCTTGACCGTGTTGTGTGCTATCAGTTGATCCCTTCCTGTTTGGTTTTACCTGCAGGTTAGACATTGCACCTTTTAGAATGTTGTTTCTTATGCTGGTCTGATAGTTTCTTTCAACTATTTTTGAAAGTTCAACCTTATTTTAACTGGACTAACAAGGTCTCATGCAGCATCCCTGTGCACTATTCACTGGTATTTTGATTGCGTTAACTTCTCTCAAAGGCAAGGTAGTTACTGTTTTCAGACAAAAAGGAGGTCCTGGCAATTCTAGTCTCCAAGAACAAGGGCCGTTTCTTAGGTGCTGTAGTTGTGATGATTCTGGGGATTCGATTTCTCATTTTTCCTACCTCTTCACTTGCAAGTAGAAACCTGAAGCAGTTGCTGCTCAAGGTTGGTGACAAAGGTTCAGCAGCCCTTTGGGAGGAACCTCTATTCAAAGAATGTAGTTCTTCAAGTCGTCTGGCTTGATCACAGGTCCCTGGAAAGACTACTTTCCCCAACTAAATCAAGACCACAATCCTATATACCAGTACAGTAAACTTTGGCTCTTCAGATGTTGTAGGACTACAACTCCCAGCATTCCTGACCACTGGCTATGTTGGCTAGCACTGATGGGACTTGGAGTCCAACATTATCTACATGGCATTTGTACTATTCACACATAATTGGAAATAAGCTCCACTGAACACAGTGGGATTTACTTCCAAGTAAACATGCACTGGATTGTGTAGCAACAGATCTGTTGTGACATAAGCTTCCATGGACTAGGTTAGATGTGTCCAACACTCTTGAACTAATCCAATCCATCGACAGTCTTATTATTAGTGTAGTGACTACGAAAGGGTTGATCTAGCCAACGGTAGTGCACACTTGTTTTCTTAAATTAGATTACAAACTAATCTGCTTTTTAGTGGCTTTATTTGTTGAAAGCTGCTCTTGCTTCTATCTGCTCAAAGTTCTTTGTGTTATTAAGATGCCAACTGCTGCTTGGAATCCTTTCAGACGTTCACCACTATATGCATACTGCTTATGCTTACTGGCCCTGGAGAGAGAGCCTCATATAAGGAAGTACTGTAGTAACTTATCTTTCAAGCTTGATTGTGAGGGAAACTGTAACACAGAAACAACTTACAAACTAAAAACAGGGTATCAACAATGAGCAAACTAGGAGGAAGTCTTGCTGTTCCTTTTTCAGCCTGATCTGATGGCTTGTGATATCTTTTGCTGACACTGTTGCACCATATCCAGAGCCGATGGCTATTGTCGGTATCACGGAGGCAACTCACACTTTTGTGGTAATACAACTGGCAAAGCTAGCACACTATGGACCTAATCTTAGAGGCAGGAACTGCTTTGTAAAACCATTTTATTAAGGAGCATAAGCCAGTGATGGGGAACCTGATGGCCTACAAGTCCCATAATCCCTGACCATTGGCCATCCTGGCGGGGACTAGTGGGAGTCCAGCAACATCTGGAGCAGTGGCATGCTGTCAATGGACTAGGGCGACTAGGCTAGTCCCCTAAATGTTCCCAGCCGAACCTTCCTGGTCCTTGCTTCTTCCATTATTCTTTTTATTAAGCTTTTTTTTTTTCACACTTCATACTCTTTTATTGTTCCCTGTTTTTATTTTGATGTATTTTATTATTGCTAGCTGCCTTGGGCATTCTTTTACGTAAAGACAGATGAAAGTATTCTGATGAAACAAAATAAGAAGCCTCTGCTTGTTTCCAAATTGCTATGGAAAATACAGGAAATGTGTTTCAAAATATGAGCCGAGAAAGCCAACACCTCTTCTGTTGCATCAAAATGAGAGCAAGACAAAGCCGCGTGGGAACACCAATTTCTATGCAATGGGCTACACATCTTCCCCTACACTAAGTCACTGCCCTCTTCACCTATCCCAGTGTTACTCTCTCCACGATTTCAGCAACCTGACAGTGATCTTTCCTCCATGGCCAGCTGACCAAGCAGAGTGTATTATCTCTGCTTCTCCAGGTTCTATATCGGCTGCAGAGACAACCCCCCCCCCAACTACCTCTGTTAGTATGGAGCTAAGCCCTGTGTGTGTGTGTTGTGTAATATGCATGTGGCCTGCACACCAGCTTTGGCCCCACCAGCATCCATGATGCATTCCCCTATTTCTTTCCCCTGAAGGAATTTGACCCTCAGGGGGGTAAAGATTCCCATGCTCCAGTTTAAAACCAAGTATACATCAAAGTACAATATGACTATAAAATGCCTTCTACTCATATGAGAAACATTTTACAAAAAAAAAAAAAGTATTGTGCTTTGCTAGAAATAAGGCAGTGTAGCACTGTGGAAAATGAACACTGGCTGCCTTATTTGCCTTCAATTCCAGTGTAAGGCGCTGGCACTGATCTTTTAACACAGAGAAAGTTGATGCTGCCTTGTCTCATGAAACCAAAGCTTGTCATTTGCTTCAGCTCACCCTGACTTCTTTCTGTGTGGATTCCCCAAATGATTATTCAGGGCAAAGAGTAGCTGATGAATTAAATAATTGTAAGGTGTGCATTTTTCAGTCACTCAGCAACTTTTATGCTCTTTTTATACATTGGTTTTACGAAGCAAAACTTCAGAATCCCTGTGAGTAAAAAGTAAACACCTAGCTTCCCTGAACCTTATTTATTGGTTTAAAGTTACAATATCAACTTAAACCACAAACATAATTCACCCTTCTTAATTGTCACTCTGTCACCTGACACACCCAAACCATCCCTTTCCCACCTCCAGCCTAGTATTCCACCAGCATAGTTCAAGTATCACTTTCAACATCCACAATTATGACTTCCTTTGATGCTTGGTCTTCAGGAAGCACACTTTATTAGCTGCCTAACACATGTCTGCCTGCCTTCTTACAAATCACAATTGCAGAAGCCAAAGCATAATTACTAAGCACAACTATCCCTAAGGACATCAAGGCTTAAATACCGGTATGTGGCAAAGCAACACCAGGAGCACTTTTATTCTCTTTGTAAAGTACGGGGTTGATGCCATCTTCACTATGGGACTGAACACTGGTGATCCTTCGCAAGAAGTAAGCCTCAGTGGTGCACCACTGTTATGATGTTTTGAGACATCATTTGCCACCATAGTAGTCCTTGGCATGAATCTGCAGAATATCTCCACAAAGAGGATGAAGATAAATTATTGGCTCTATTCTTGCCATGTCAGATCTTAACAACACCCACAATGTTCTTTGCTGCTTCAGAAATATTGAGCCCTAAGGGTGATACTGGTGGCTCTGTAATTCCTTTAATGTTGATGCTTTTGTGTTTTGCAGCAGAAAAGGTGTTGGCTTCTTTGATTCCGCAATCAAAAAGTTAAAAGGCATTTTTGTGCATTTTTAGCAAGTTTAGAATAAGCAAAAATTGGTACATCTTCCAGTGCAATCAGAACATTTTTAGAAAATTGGAGTTTTCCCCTTGAATTACAATAATCAGTAAAGGCAGCATTAAAAGTATCCCCTACCATCAAGCCAGAAGTCATATAAACCACAAAAAAGATCTAGTTACCATTTTTGTTGCAACACAAACCTCCAAAACAAATTCATTAGAATTAGAAGATTGAAAAGGTAATAGTAAATAAGGGATAGCATTTCTTATGTTTATTAGTAACCTGATCTAGTATTTACGATATAATGGTGCACTGACGTTGCTAGCTAGTACTACCAGCACTATTGTGGCAACAACTGCCAACCAGAAACAGCTTATTGACTTTCATAACTAGCTGCACATAATTTTAAAAATTGTAAATTGTTTCTATTTTATGGCTTGCACTAACCATTAGCCTAGATTCTATTGCCATTTTATCAATGTAGTAGTTACCCTGAGAGAGAGCTATCCTGACTGAGTGAATACATCAAGTTCAATCCAACCTCAAACCGTGCATCAAATCCTGATGGCTGTTTGAATAGACCAACATGTCTTCTCTTACATATTATACACTGATAAGCATAATCAGAGAGACTTTGTATGCAGAACCAATACACATATCCGTACACCATCACTGCCTGTAGAAAGATAAATTTATTTGTTTTACAGGTTCAGATTTTACTCTCAGTAATGAAATCCAAGAATTTCTTCATCATAAAAACTTGCTTTACATATTATTTACAGGTATCCAAAGATATACATAATGTCACTGCTATATCTTCTCACAAGACAACAGAGGGAGGGGGAAGCTTACTGCAATGACATACATTCAAAAAGAGTAAATTGTGGATATGCACAGTGTTTTTGGCACAGCTAACTCATTGTTAAATTCTGGCCCAAATTACAGAAACTAATGGTGTCAAATGTGACAAGGAATGACCAAAATCAGGGTGGGCACTGTAAATATTCTTTGGCAATTTGCAGCAGACTGATATAAGCAAGGAAAGAAATTAACAAGTAAAAAAAAAGGAACATAAAACTCTCCCCTTTGCTCTTGTAATTGTCATTTACTGTACCAGAATTCTTTTGGTAAGCTCATGATTCTGAATTTCATTTGCCAGTTCTCTCCAGATGATTCCAACCACACAGAGGTTTACTACCTAGAATCTCTCTTTCAGGCTACGCTCCATACACCCTCTCTCTAACAAACCAAAAATGTCCAAATTGTAGAACTGTGTGCATTAGTCAAAAGCATTACTGAAATATATTGCACAAGTTCATGGTCTTCATAATAGAAATTTGAGGACTACAGCAAAGCAGGAAAAAGCTTCTGGTATTCAAATGACTGTGAATATCATCCTGGTGCCTTTTTACTTCATTAGCTCACAGCAGAAAGCATATTTTTCTCAAAAACAAGCAATAAGAAATCAATTAGTTTACTCTTGTTATGAGCTTTTTGAACCTATTACAGATTTGATCTAAAAAAGAAAAATACTGTTAAATAGCAGCATGATCTGCAATACTTTACTACACTGATTTGTGGCATTTATAAAAAGCCATTTGCAAAATATATTAAATTTGGTTCCATTTTAAACCAAAAAAATAATGGGCTTTCCATTCCATAAGAAAATACTCTTTTGAAAAGGAACACCTGGACACTTAACTTCACCAATCAATGTTTAGGGATAAAATTAGGTTAAGAGTTTGAAGGAACAGTATACCATATATATTAAACAGCACCTAAGTAGCTGCAGGATCAAGAAAATGAGTCTATGAATTTTATTTTTCTGCATATTTGTTTTGCAATTAGATTGTATTATCACACTGCCATACAACAATTGTCACAGTCATTTATGCAGACAGTCATGCCATATCTTATAATGGGGGGAGGGGAACAGGTTCATCAGTGCATATTAAATTAATACTTTCCTGCCCTTTGCTGCTATATGCAGCCAAACACAATTCATTTACATTACCACAAAAATGTAAATTGACAATTTTACTTATGTTTAAAATGAATGCATCACAGTGGATTTGGACTATAATTATCAAAATGAAATTAAGCCTTTTAAAATAGTACAAGTCGTATTTCTTAACTTACCTTAGAATTTGAGTATACCATTTTAAAACACACACTGTAATGTATATCTTATAGTTCATATTGTTTGGGGGGAAATCAGTTTATGCGATTCCGTTATATGGTGATGATCCAACCCAACATTTATTGACTTCTAATAAAGTGTTTAATTGTCAATTAACAAGTTGTGGAAACACCCACCTTCCTAAGAGAGAAAGGGAAGACTGTGGCTATAGTTTTTGCAGCTGCCAGTTCTAATGGTTATTTCATAATGTACTTAACATGTGTGATTAAAAAGCATGTTTGAGAAACCCCTTGAGCTTTCTACGCTTATCTTTTTCAGCTATACTTTTAATTCCATTTTAAGCACACACACGCCCGCAAACCCCTGAGGTGCATTTCTAGACGCTTTTGAGGACAACTATGCAGACAGCTTCCTAGACTTTCAGTTATTCAAGTCCAATGAGAATGAGACGACAAAGGTATGACAGCAGAAAATTCTAGGAAGGGTTTTTATATGGTCCAGTGTTTCTCCCCATTGATTGTAGCGCTACTTAGATTGGTTCCCTCAAAGTCAGAAGTATTCCTTGTATTAAGGATTTGGTCACTGGAAAGAGAGGCCTGAAGCTTCTAAACAGTTGTTTTACAATATTTATGGTATGTCATATGCCACAGCAGTGGACCACTGCTTTCCCCGCAACTCCAAAGACTATGAGTACACACGCATACAAATTCTAAAAAGGTAAGACACTTTATTGAATTTGATAAATTAAGAGACTATGTACTGGACTTTATGTATCACAGGTACTTGTAAACAGAGACACTGGGTCCTTTCCATGGAAATCCTGATAATGTTCAGCAAGAAGTTATTTTCCCACGCGCTGTTCACAGTTTGAATAGTGACGGAGGGCAGAGAAGAATTCTTCATAACTGATGTTCACATGTGAAGGCAAAGAACTGGGAAAACACAATTGGAAAGAGGCAGCTAAATATCCTAAGTAATGTGTGCACTGGATAAATCCAAGTAGCATTATCCTAATCCTTGCCTTTGAACTATTTCACTGGTTTATTATTGATCAAGTGGATCTGCAAACTTAAATGACTTAACATTAGAATAGATGACTACTTAGAACTGACCAGCTCTGCACAGTATTGGGATTACTAAACAGAAGGGAGAAAAGTAGAAAAATGATAGGAGACATTATTGCTCCAGCTACAGGTGCAATACTATTCAATACTACTTCACAGCTTCACTTTCACATAGCTTTTCCGTTGACATGACAGCCAAGTATGATAGTCCTCAAATACCGACACACCTTTCCAGGTAATGCTTTTGTTAACCTTCTACTGAAGGGAAGTCAAGCCAAACACATGCTTTCTTGTATCAGTTTTGGCACTGTCTTACTACATTAACAGCTCTTCAACTAACTTCTGTTTTCAAGGATAGTTATAATTCCATATCTGGAATGATTCAGAAATCCAAACCCCATTCTAGAGAACTTCAGAAATCCAATCTTCATTCCTCAGCCAAAATTTAGTTTCAACCATTTCCCTTAATTCTAAAGATAGTGACAGATGAGAGTTAATCATGGATTGTATGAACCCAGTCATCATTTGACTGTACTGAGCTGGTTACATTAAGTAATTTTCTGATACCACAGAACTATTCACACAGGAACACTTGTATGGAAATTACTGAATTTAGTGTGCCTTTTACATGAAACAGTACTTTAGAGTGTTGTGCCTGATCAACCTGGCCCTTTAAGAAACACACAACAGGGCAGATTCCAAGAATATTTACAAAGCATGACTGATGCATGTTAAGATTACAGAATCAAGATTACAGTGTGGAAGCCTGCCAGAAAGCCCCACAGCCTAAGTGCTGATGAATAATGCACAAGCATGACTGGAGTGAAGGGGGAGATTTGCTGTGTAGCTAATGTTTATGGGAAGACCATCTGTAACTTCCAGAGATACTTAGCACTTTTTATTCCCAGGTCTAAATCTTAATTCTTTAGGTTAAGCCATGCTTATGCAGGAACCATTAATTGAATGGATTCAGTTGCTCTGCAAGGCAACCTACACCTGGTGATTGCCACAGATGATGTCATCCTAGACCACTGGAGAATCAGCAGCCTGCAAACCAGCCCACAGCACCTGCTCCTTGCCACTCTCCAGCAATTAGATCAGGAAGAAAGGCTTTCTTTCAAGCCTAACTGCTGCACAAGGAGCACACGTTTTTTGGACAGATCAAATCTAGGGTGGGAAAATCTCTCCCTCTGGTAATTAGTCTTGGAAAACAAGCTAAAATCTTTTAGGAGAAATTGGTCTCCTCAACTGTAGCTATGCCCACTTTTGTCCTAGCCATGTCTGCTACTGGAATGTGGCTTCTGGAAGGTTGCCCAGGAGGAAATACAGCACTTGGGCAGAAAAAGAAAACACTACGCCTTCCTTCCCCTTGACCTTTCTATAGCTTTTAACACAGGGGGTCACATAATATTAGACAGGCTTTTGCTTCTGATGCAGACTTTTTTTTTCTCTACTGAAGAATATTACTATGCTGAATGGGGATCTGTCTTATGGGTACAGTGAAGCTCTGTTAAATCAGTATCTAGTAGCAAAGTACCTCTCATTATGGTTGGGTTCCTATAGTCAAGTAACTATAACACTGGAATGGTATAGAGAACATATTCTTGGTATACACTTGGTAGAACTAAGCCTGCTGCTGATCTGCTTCGTAGTGGTAGCAGGCTTCAATTCTCTAACCTACGATTTAAAAAATCTAGATGTTTCAAACTATTTTAATTCATGCTAAAGGGTGAAGCTAGGAATAGTAATCTCTGTAACCAATTTCAAGTTCAGATCTATGTGAGGGTAGATATTATACATCTATTAACATGGAAAACTAAGATGTGATCTCAATGGGCAACATGATGGTTATTTGGGATCAGAATGTCCTGCAACATCTTTCAACGGTCTTTTGGTACTCAGAGTAACAAAATAAATGGCTTTCCTTCTCTTATTACAAATTTATTACACTCCTAACAAAATAATAATAATTTTTCCTTTCACAAGTTGACCACACATTTTGCACCTTTATAAAAAGTGGGAAACTATGTATCAACTAAAGGAAAAGAAACTGTCAGCATGCTTTTAATAGGGGCTTTTGAGAACTATTATTATTTGGGGCATGATGACAAGAATAGCATATTCACTGATAAATGTAACTACTGAAAATCACACATGAAAGTTTTAACACAAAGGGTCAAAGCCACTTGCAACACAAAGTAAATGTTCCAAGTTACACACAACTATGTATAGTCAACTTACACAATCTCTGTCAATCGGATCTGCCATGGAAGAAAGCCTAATACACTGTCCACAGGACCAAACTTTAATATTAATTCTGGGTCAGGAAAGCCATTAGTACCTAAAGAGAGTAATAGTTTGGGGTTGTAGAATTAAGACCATCTTGTTACATTAGAGCTTTAACACATCTTCACATACAATGTGCATTTCTTACAAATTATTTTCTATAGAACAGTACCAAATATTTTAGAGAGGACATCACTTAGGCCCCATAAAAATGACCTCAAACAATTTGACAGTTAACTACTGTGTGCAAATTTAGTTGGTATATAAAGATAAATATTACAATTACAATTTTGATTATCTAGTTTAAACAGTGCTAAAAAAATTATCATTCTTTGGTCTTTATGATAGTTTAACTGAAACACTGCCATGCCCACTGACTTTGGAATTTACTGAAAGCAAGTATGCTTATTACTACTTTGCTCATTTAGAGCAAAGGAAATCTGAATCTCTGTTAGCTTTATTTTCTTAATGTAATTAATGGCAGCCAGGAACATACATTTGTGACATCAGTGTATATATCCACAGTGAACTTGAACATTTCCTCATCAAGCTGTAACATATAGCTAGACAAAAGCAGATAAAACAATTCTGCTCGCTAAAATGAAACACTGCCAAATGGTAAATTTAGTGAGGTATTACAGTTTGTTTTTAACAGCACTTAATGCAACAATCTCCTGGCACTACTTAATAAAAAAAGCAGTTGCACTACAGCTGTCAAAATAAGTTCCCCCTGAAATTCCTTTATAGCCAAATTTCAATTGGCAATTGAATAAAATTTACCTCAGATGGCTTGGCTGAAGCAATTCTCTCCAAATTAGTTTATGTGCTATAACAAATAATGAGTCACTCACGTCCCACAAGCAATTAAATTTCATTGAAATGCACAACACTACATAGCATACACCAAAACACTTGTGGGAAATAGGTATTCTGTGAAGCAGCCCTCAGAATCTGCCAGTTTGAAGACTGTGCACAATGGGTATGAGCTCTAGATACAAATGTGTTTGGGTCTGGGAAAATTACTGTCATCTGATTAGCCACCCCCCCACACCACTTTTCATGAGGGGTAAACAACTTCAGCCATCATACTTACTAGTTAATAAGTTTTCCAAGACGTCCATATCCAGATCTGTGCATTTTTTTTGTTTTTGTGCTACTAAGTGGCAAAATTTCTGAGCTGCTTTTACTATATCTGTCTTCCCATCCTCTGAAGACAGCACATTCAGTGTAGATTGGCAATTTAAAACTGCAACAAGAAAGAAAGAACTTAAAGCAATTAAATGAAAATGGAAGAAGTCAGCTGTTCTTGAAGTTCACCTCTCTCAAGCAGCCCTGATTTCAATCGATGCGGAGAAGGCTTTCGACAAAATCTCGTGGGAATTTATGAAAAAACTATTAAAAGAATTGTGTCTAGGTGAAAAATTCCAAAAAGGTATAAATGCAATATATAACCAACAGAAAGCAAAAATTATTATTAATGGAGAGTTTGGAGAAGAAATCAACATCTTTAAAGGTACAAGACAAGGATGCCCCCTATCCCCAATGTTATTTATAATAGTATTAGAGGTTCTATTAAAGAAAATAAGGCAGGACAACCAAATAAGAGGAATAGCAGTTGGTGAAAAAAGATATAAGTTAAGAGCCTTTGCAGATGATGTTATGATCACAACAGAAAATCCCCTACAATGTACACCTAGAATATTGGAATGCATAAACGAATATGGTAGATTAGCAGGATTCAAATTAAACTATGGAAAAACCAAAATACTAGTGAAAAATATGGAAGAAAAAGATAAAGTGAAATTACAAGAAATTACAGGATTGGAAATTAAAAGAAAATAAGGTATCTTGGAATAAATTTAACAACAAACACTATAGATTTAAGTAATGAGAACTATGGGAAAACATGGAATGAAATAAAAATGACTTGCAAGTATGGGGAAAATTAAATCTTTCCTTACTAGGGAAAATATCGGTAATAAAGATGATCATATTACCAAGGATGATGTTTTATTTCAAAGTATCCCAATACTAGGAGGAGATAAATGTTTTAATAACTGGAAAAGAGATTTGGCTAAATTCATATGGTCAGGGAAAAAGCCAAGAATAAAACACAAAATAATGATAGATAAGAAGGAGAGAGGAGGATTTGGTCTCCCAGATATGGAGTTATATCACGATGCGGTGGGTCTGACCTGGCTAAAGGAATGGATCAAATTAGATGACTCGGATGTATTGGATTTAGAGGGAGTAGAGACGAGATTTGGATGGCATGCCTATTTAATAGATGAAAAAGTGAGAGTACATAAAGGCTTCCTAGGGCATATAATCAGAAAATCTATATATAAAATATGGGAGAAATATAAAAGACTCCTAGAACCGAAAACTCCCTGGTGGGCATCGCCAGCAGAAATTGTCGCAGTGAAAAAATTAAATATGAAAGAAAATTGGGCTACCTATAAAACTGTATTAAAGGAAGAAAAGGGAGAATTGGAATTAAAGGATTACACAGAAATTAAAGCTCATATTAGTGATTGGTTCCAATATATTCAAATTAAGTATAGATTAGCAAAAGACAAAAAGTCAGGATTTGAAAAGGAAATATCAAAATTTGATAAATACTTAATACAAGAAAAATCAAAAAATATATCTAAATTGTATGATCTGATTTTAGAGTGGGAAACAAAGGATGAATTAGTTAAAGCATCAATGATCAAATGGGCGCAAGATATTGGGAAAAATATTATGTTTGAACAATGGGAAAAATTGTGGAAAGAAGATATGAAATTCACTATGTGTTATATACTGAAAGAAAATTACCTTAAAATGCAACATAGATGGTATTTAACACCTGAAAGAATAGCAAAAATGAATAAAAACTGTAGCGATGTCTGCTGGCGATGCAACATGGGAAAAGGTACTATGATACATATATGGTGGAATTGTTTAAACATCAAACAATTTTGGGAAATAATATATAATGAGATGAAAAAAATGTTTAGATACTCATTTAGGAAAACACCAGAAGGTTTTCTATTGGGAATAGTACCAGGAAGCCTAAAGGAAGAAGATAAGACCTTATATGCAACAGTAGCAGCAAGGCTATTGATTGCGAAAAACTGGAAAAGTGGTATAATACCGACAAAAACAGAGTGGCTTGCCAAATTATTGGAGTATTACAATATATCCAAAACAATGGAAGAAATTGGAAGGATTTCAAAAGAAAAGAGAGATAGGGACTGGAAGGTGTTTAAAAGATACTTGCAAAATCATATCAAAAAATCAGAACTCCTATTAGAATAAACAAGTTCCGTTTCAAATATTGAAATATCAAATAAGATGGATGACAATGTGTAATAGATAAAGAAGTATGAAATTAGGCTAAAGGTGTGTGAAAGAAAGTAATAGAAGTGGAAAGAAATTGTAATTGAGTAGATTGGAAGTCAAACACAAAGGTGGGGTGAGGGGTGGTGGATGGTGATGGGGAAAGGAACTATTTGTGGGATTGAATGTAAGTATGTTTGAACACTTTTAAGGATTGTATGAAATGTATGTTTGTATGCTTGTATATGTGTATTAATGATGAACCATTTTAACAATAAAAACTTAATAAAAAAAGAAGAAGAAGAAGTTCACCTCTCACTTGCAAACAGGATAAACGTCATTCTCCACTCCCAAAGCCAGTGAAGGCTCCCAGCAGCAAGGTTATTTTAAATTTAATTTACAAAATGAACCTTCTGTAAAGAATCACAAGAAACGCTTGCTAAAAGTTCAGTAAAAGTTTAATATCAAAACTTAAACATTTAACTAAAACTGCCAGTTATTTCTGTAAAATAAGGCATTCACACTCAATTCCAGCTATCAGCATATGCCGAGATGTTCATGGGATTTATTGTACTCATGGAGATACCCATTAATTCCCATGCAGGGAGTTAATCAATGTTTGTGGATCAGATTTGGGTGTCCAGGAACTTTCTAGTACTCAATAACAGTACAGGATTTTCAAAATAAGAAATCTTACCTTGATCTGTTTTATCTTGATTTGCAAACTTCACTGTATATTTGGAACGGTCAAGATTTAACAATTCCTGCTGCTGCTTTAGGATTTCATCCATTAGCCTTGAATTATTTCTTTTGAAAAAACCTTGCAAAGAGAAGAGAAAGAAGTACTGGTTAATTGATCATCATTTTCCAGGTAATCTGTGTCAGTATTTTTATAGATCTCTAGAGTCATATAAATAGTTTAATTATTTTTCTTTAAAAAATAATCCAAGGAGATCTGGGCCTCATTTACCCCCTGAAGAAAAGGCAGGATGCAGAGGCTAGCCATCTTACAGAAACTTGTATGAATTTTCAATTTGACATCAAATAGTTGAAGTTTTCATACCAAACCATGGGTTTTGCTTCTCTCTCTCTCTCTCTCTCTCTCTCTCACACACACACACACACAGAGGAAACAATGGTTTGTCTGCTTTTGTTTTCTGTTCAGCTGATGCAGTAGTTCCTAGAATTACGGAACATTAATTCATATATCATGCCAAATAGTAGCTAAGCTTCCTTAACCACAGCTTTCAGCCATCTGAATTTGAGAAAAGCGAACTACAGTTTGGCAACAGATACCACAAATCTTTTTCAGCCAGACTTAATTAGTCTGTTGCACAAATCAGAATACCGACTGGAAATTAGTAATCCTGCTGTAATCAACTACTATATCCAGCTAACATCAACAGAATTAGTTATGTTCCAATTATTCCACCTTCAAGGATTAAAAAATTAAAAACAGATCATCTTTTAAACAGTAATCAGATGGCCCTGCCTAATTTAATATAAATAGCAGAGCATCATGTTTGCTATCCCAAGCTCTTTGAAGGAAGGGCAGAATAAAAATGTAATTAACAGAAGAAAAAACAATAAGATTAAAGTTCCAAAGTGAAAGTATGGATTACTATTTGCAATTTTTTAATATAAATGTTATTCTTGCAATTTTATACTGCATTTATTTTGTGTAGCTGCATGATTGTCAGTAGTCTTAATTTTAAAGGTGAACTGAAGAACTTGAAGACATCATTAACGCATGTTCAAGTTTAGGTAAAGTAAAGGTAAAGGTACCCCTGCCCGTTCGGGCCAGTCTTGCCAGACTCTAGGGTTGTGCGCTCATCTCACTCTATAGGCCGGGAGCCAGCGCTGTCCGCAGACACTTCCGGGTCACGTGGCCAGCGTGACAAGCTGCATCTGGCGAGCCAGCGCAGCACACGGAACGCTGTTTACCTTCCCGCTGGTAAGCGGTCCCTATTTATCTACTTGCACCCGGAGGTGCTTTCGAGCTGCTAGGTTGGCAGGTGCTGGGACCGAACGACAGGAGCGCAGCCCGCTGCGGGGATTCGAACTGCCGACCTTGCGATCAGCAAGTCCTAGGCGCTGAGGTTTTACCCGCAGCGCCACCCGCATCCCATGTGTTCAAGTTTATTTTTGCCCAATTTGAAAGTGTCAGGTGGGTGACATTTTTTGAGGTTTCCCAAACAGCCAACCTTAAGGCATGAATTTCCATGTGGGATCCTGTATACCCATGTGGGTAGAGTTACATGTATTGCTAAGTGGGGTATGACACTCCAAAAAGGTTTCTTGGGGGTATGGGAAGAAAGGGAATATATGTTGCATGAACAGTCTTCTGTTTCTACAACTTTATATCGAACCATTTGTTACTACCAGAATCCACAAGTGCAAGTAATGTCCAGGATACAAAAACTCTACTGAAGGTACACCTAAGGCTTTTGGCGTATCTAACAGTTTTTGACTCCTTGCCCCCACCCCAAAAGACAGACATTGGAGCTGCATTAACTACTGACAACTACTGTCACATGACCGAAGTGCTGATTGAGACATCCAACCCCAAAGTACTTTGCGGTGCACAGAGTGAGTTGCATGGCTCTTGGAGCCCAGCCAATTCTTTCAACACTTTTAACCTAAATGATTTATTAGAGTTTAATTTGGCAGCATAACGAAGTACAGGTTATGTAGTCTACCTTAAAACCAGGACTGAGTTGTCATGTAAATGAGGCCAATGGGTGCTAAATCTAGCTAAGTCTCAGCCTTTGTTTTAAATAAAAACAAAGAAAAAACAAACACATGCTGCTGGGCACAGACCAGAACTACTGTTAACCAAGCTGTACTTGTCTGAACAAGTAGCAGCAGCTGTAGAGGTGACTTTGCACAATAAGATGTTATGACTCCCACAGACCTTGCAGTTGAACCTGGCAAATAAACTTCGAGTACTTTTTGTAAGAACAGTACTGCTGGATCAGACCAAAGGCCCATCTAGTGCAGCATCCTGTCCTCACAGTGGTCACCTGAAAGCAGAACCTGAGTGTAACAGCATTCTGATTGCATTCACACCACTTGCCTTTCTTCGCAACTGGTATTTGGAGGCATGCTGCCTTCAACATGGAAGGTACTGCCCAGCCACCATGGCTAGTAGCTGTTGATAGCCTTATCCTCCATGAATACATTTAATCTTCTTTTAATGCAAGTTGGTGGCCAACACTACATCCTACAAATAAACTATGCACAGTGTGAAGTGACTCCTTTTGTCTGTCCTGAATGTTCCAAAATCTGTCCAAGTTAAGTGGTTCCCAACTGTACATATGTGACTATATAGGTATGACACACCAATCAACTGCTACTGTGCTATAAAAATAGGCTAAAGACAAGGCCAGGTGCAGCTTTTCTGGTTTGAGTGCCTCACGAGCTGCTGTTATTATTGTTATTGTTATTTACTTGTACCCTACCCATCTACGTGGGACGCGGGTGGCGCTGTGGGTAAAACCTCAGCAACTAAGACTTGCCGATCGCATGGTCGGTGGTTTGAATCCCCGCGGCAGGGTGCGCTCCCGTTGTTCGGTCCCAGCGCCTGCCAACCTAGCAGTTCGAAAGCACCCCCGGGTGCAAGTAGATAAATAGGGACCGCTTACTAGCGGGAAGGTAAACAGCGTTTCCGTGTGCTGCGCTGGCTCGCCAGAGCAGCGATGTCACGCTGGCCACGTGACCCAGAAGTGTCTGCGGACAGCGCTGGCTCCCGGCCTCTAGAGTGAGATGAGCGCACAACCCTAGAGTCTGTCAAGACTGGCCCGTACCGGCAGGGGTACCTTTACCTTTACCCATCTACGTAACTGGGTTGCCACAGCCACTCTGGGCAGTTTCCAACAGAATATAAAAAGCACAATGAAACATCAGATATTAAAAACTTCATGATACAGAGCTATTCATTACTATTAGAGTTAATATTCCTTAGCTTTCTGAAAACTGGAGGCACCAACTTTTCTTTATGTGCAGTTGTTTGTCAGCTTTATTAGCCCCCCCCCCTCAAAAAAAAAAAAGTTTAGCAAGCATATAATTTATGTTTCTTTCTTTATATTGGTTCCAGCAATTTTTATAGTTTTAAGTTTCTTTAAAACTTTTAGTACTCAAATTATTTTCTTGAAACAATTCCTACTTCTTCTTAGGGCTAGCATTACAGAAATGTTCCTTTGATCTCTAGAGGCCTAAGATGTAAAGTTAATATGAAAATGGTTTATATATTTTTGTACCAGGTATTTGCCTGGAAATAAAGAGTTGTTATGCTTTCAGCAGAATAAACTAATTGCCTTTTCTGCATTAGGCAGAGAAGTGTCCAATAGGTTTTCAATTATAAATCATCTTGTAGAAGCCTTGCTGTGTGGGAGAGCTATCCATTAAAGCCTACAGAACTTTTGTTCAGCCCATACAAATAGGTCAAAGTTACTTTCACAGAAGATAACATTCCCTAAATTGTTATTAGTCATCCATTAGAGCCTATCTCAGTATTGGCGTCTTTAAAATCTGAGTTGTATAAAAAAATTAGAATTGTGACATGTTGAGGCTTAGATTAATGTATTTAATACAATTGTAGTTCTGTTACATACAATTATGTTTCATTTTAATGTGTATTTCTTACGAAAGTTAATTGCATCTTTTTAAAAAGTAAGCAGTCTTTTTAATACTCAGTTTTAAAAGTTGATTGGTACATGAATATTTAAGGAAAAAAATCACAATAGAATACTATGCATTATTACTATAGAATACTATGCAATATTATGCATTTACCATCCTATAATTACCATCCTATAATCACAATCCTATAATCACAATAGACCATATTACCATCCTATAATCACAATAGAATACTATGCAATATTATGCATTTACCATCCTATAATTAAATAGGAACATTATTTTTTTCAACACATAAGCTATTCTATAAGGCTTCTCATTTCTGCTAGTACAGTGGTACCTCGGGTTACAGATGCTTCAGGTTACAGACTCCACTAACCCAGAAATTGTACCTTGGGTTAAGAACTTTGCTTCAGGATAAGAACAGAAATCGCACAGCGGCGGCGCAGGAGGCCCCATTAGCTAAAGTGGTACCTCAGGTTAAGAACAGTTTCAGGTTAAAAACGGACCTCCAGAACAAATTAAGTTCTTAACCCGAGGTACCACTGTATAGCTTCTGGATCTGTCTGAAGTTCTGTTTCCACCTTGCTCTTGATAGTCAAGCTTCTAATTTATACATAAAAGACATTTGAAATTGAGGAATCCCTATGTGTACTAGTCAGTCTCTCTTTATGGAATTTAATTCCACCTAAAAAGACGTGTTTAGAGACATATAAAATTTAAAACTGGACATATCTAGAGCACCTGTCCACAAGTCTGGATTTTCTTAAGCAGCATGCATAACTGAAGCTGAATCCTAAAAACAGAGGGTGTTATGTGTTCCAAGTCCCCATATCCAGAAGATAAGAAGGCAGCCTGCCCTGGATAGGGTTGCACCCCCTGGGTTGTAGCAGATCTGCAGCCTAAGGATGTTCCTTGATTCAGCACTGCCCCAGAGGCTCAGATGGCCTCGGTGGCTAGGAATGCCTTTTTTCAGCTATGGCTAGCTCACTAGCTACATCCCCTTTTGGACAGAGATGACTCAGCCACTGCACTCCATGTTCTGGTAACTTCCAGAATAGATTACTGCAATGTGCTCTACATGCGGCTGCCCTTAAAGATGACTTGGAAACTTCAGTTGATCCAAAATGCAGCATCCACATTACTGGCTGGGGTTTCATTTAGATCTCCTATAGCCCCAGTTTTGAAACAGCTGCACTGGTTAACAGTTCATTTCCAGCCCAATCAAGGTACTTGCATTAGTGTTTAAAGTCCTAAACATGCAGGGCCTAGCTATCTGAAAAACTGTCTCATTTCCTACAGATCCTCTTGACTGCTAAGATCAGCAGAGGGGGCACTTTTAGTAGTTCCTCCACCCTCAGAAGCTTGAGGGGTGGCGGACCGGGAGACGGCATTCTTTGTGACAGTCCCCAGGTTGCATCTGGCACTTTTACTATACAACTTCCAACAAATTCTGAAGATGCAGCTTTCTTAATTCTGGCTTTTGACACTTGACATATACATTTTTAGGATCCACCTTGTTTCTGTGACTGTAGGCTGTTTTGAAATGTTTTAATACAGTATTGTGTTTTGTTTTGTTTTGAATATTGTGTTTTAATATTGTAACTCCCCTCGGACCTCAGGTTGCAGAAAAGGTAATTAGTAACAGCAACAACAACAAATTGTTAGAATGCAAGTATGTATCAAGTTTCTATTTGTCATCACCTTCACCCTGTAGGCTGTTCCTATTAAAACATTCTCAAAAAACAAAAAGTTTATGTACTTCATTCACACAGATATTGTCAAATTGAGTGAAAATAAGATTAGAATTATAGTTTCAAATCACATAAATAATTTACATTGATACATATTTCTTCTCAGTAATGCTCCATTCTCCTTCTGTTTGAGATATGGTAGCTGTTTCAGCCTGGGGAGCTGGGAAAGAGATACTGTGAAGTGGAACAACTACATCATGTCCAAAAAACTGTGCTCAGTTTAAATTGTTTTTTGTTTTCTTGCCTCTCCACATGCCTTTAATAGTTGTATCAAACACTCCATGCTCGTGCATCTAAGGCACTGAAGAAGAAAGCACCTAGAAACAACTACTCAGGATAACTAGCTAACCTGTAAGATGACGCCTTGGGAATGTAGGAGCTAATGAGGGATTGGCTCATACCACATTTGTTCAATCTATTTATTTAGTTTTCTGTAGTTTAGATCTTAAACACAGAGTTCAGTTCTGATTTATCAGAAAAATCAAAACACCTCTCCCCAGTGCTTTGTAAAAAAGCACATTACTGAAGTAAGCACTTGACAAATGCATTTGGATGCAGTGGCAGAAGCACAGCCTCAGTGGCAGCACCATTTATGTGAAAGGGGATCTTTTGGTTCCCTTGCACCGAGCACTCTCCTTTTAGCTTTCACATGAATGAAACAAGGCCTCTCCAATGCCGTTGGAGGCAATGTCAGCTGACGAAGTGAACTGTTCCAATCTCTCCTACCCTATAGCCTGCTAACATGATTACACATTTTATATAGTTACTCTCAAAATAAAGGTGCAATGTAACACTAGAGTTATTTGCTTTATCAAGCGTACTATGACTAAAGATGACTTTAGAATTCTAGCAACAGATGTCCATGAATCAATGCTATGTCCCAACCTTCTCCAGCTGGATTCCCTCCTGATGTTTTAGATTATAATACCCAACGCCCCTAACCATTGTCCATGGGTCCCAAACATTTGATGAGTATGAGATTGGGGGAGATTATTATAACCCATCATCACCATTGCAGCAGCAGCAGCCAAAAACTATCTTCTAAGCTTACAAAAGAGGCCCAAATGCTGACAGTTTCAGAACTTGACCTCTAAAAGATTTCCTACCCCATGGGTACTAGATAGAATTCCTATTCCAAATATTCCAAAAAGAGAAAACGTGTCTGCTGCATAGTATTGTTTGTCATATGAAATATTAGCTATAAACAGAATACGGATGTATGGAATTGAATTGTGACTTTTTATTCTTACCTAATTGGTCTGTTTCCAAAACCAGTTTCAACTACAGTTTGTTGAAAGCTTGATTTTTTTAAAAAAGTAACTTTTTGAATGCAGCTAAATATCTGAATACATATGCCCCTGTGTAGTATCATAAAATCAATTGTGCTTATGTTTTTGCTTTTAATGTATGCAAGATGGAAAAAAGCTTCTCAAGTGATTCACTTCAAAGTATGACAACCATCAGCATGTGAATCTGAGACTAAGTAGTCATATGAAATTTAAATAACATGCTTGTACTTATTAACAAATTAAATTAAACCTACACATAGTTGCATCATTTGCTGCTGCTTCGGGCTTGATTCTTCAAGGCAGAAAAAATGTCTTCTAAAGTTCAAAATATAATACAGCATCAAATGTTTCTCTCTTTTGAGGCTACAGACCAATGCTCTTGGTTGAAACCTTAAACTACCACCACTATTTCCCATTTCCCTGCAACCTAACTACATCACAAACACAGTTTGCATGATAGGATCTGGTCAGAAAATAGAACTGATTTGTACTGTTCCTTATTGGTCAGAGATGGGGTTCAGATAGAGAGGAATACCTTCTATTATTTTGTTAGAAAGGAAATAGGGAGGGGTAAGAAAGCAGCACTGGTTTTCAATTAAATGACTTTGATACATGTACCCAGGTGAGATTTTGGGGCAGACTTTCTCAACCTGTGGGTCCCCAGATGTTGTTGAACTACAACTCCCATCACCCCTAGCTAGCAAGGCCAGAGCTCAGGGATGATGGGAGTTGTAGTCCAACAACATCTGGGGGCCCACAGGTTGAGAACCGCTGCGGGAGTCTGCCTTTCTATGTGTGGATAAATGATAAGATATGCACAATATAAATGTGATAAAGGGTCTTTTAGTTATTCTTTCTCTATTCTTTTTTCTCTGTACAGTTGTGTTTTGTATTTTCTTATAAATTAGTTTGAATTTTATTGTTTAATGTTAAAAAACTTTCATGTACATTGATCATCCTTTAACAATTCTGCCCCCTTGCCATGGCAAGTGATACATTGCTCTCTGGCAAGAGTGAGAAGCAGAAACCCACCTGCTTCCTTCCTGGTTAAGTTGAGAGGAGCAAAGACATCCCTCTCTTGTGTTGGGATATGGGGAAGATTGTCATCCACCTCTCCAGCTCCACATTCGGAGCTGGCTGTTTGCACAGTGGGTGGTCCAAGAAGTGTCTATTCACCACTGCAAAATGAGCCTCAGCCTTTCCCTCCAGCTGCATCTGGAAAAGGCTGGAGACAGGTGGTTGACAGCTGTGGCACTCCGTGTATCTCCTCCATCCAGTCAAGTCCTAGCCTTGAAAAGTGAAAAGTGGTGGCACTTTGAGCTACACTTCCACCCACTGCATAAATAAGCCCCAGCCTTTTGCTCTACAGAGAAAGTCTGGGACTTGTTTGGGTAGCAAGGGTGTTGATGCAGCTACCTAGCCCTTGCTCCCCCTTTCCCAGCCCGAAACCTAGAATTAGAAGCAGTGGTGGTATGATTCCAGCAATTACACTAGGCTTCTGAGGTCCTCTGATGCCTTACACCAGTGTTTCCCAACCTTGGGCCTCCAGCTGTTTTTGGACTACAACTCCCATCATCCCTAGCTAGCAAGACCAGTGGTCAGGGATGATGGGAATTGTAGCTCAAAAACAGCTGGAGACCCAAGGTTGGGAAACACTGCCTTACACAATTCCTGGGAATCACCTACCTCTTCCACAGCTCCAAATTTGGACCTATAGAAGAGGAGCAAGGGATTGTTCAACCTCAGGCAGAGATGCAGTCCAGGTAAGGGATCAACAGCCCAAGCCTATGCATGTATATTCAAAACAACATGCCACTGTGTTTATAAGAGGTTTACTTCCAAGCATACTGAACACAAGAGTAAATGTGCACAGGATTGCAATGAAGGGGAAAGACAACTCCTGGCAACCAGAAACAGGGTGTTGCATTTGACTAATACACAGAGTCATTGAAATCCTTGGACTGAAAATTTATCAAGACAAACTCACCTTCATTCATTTCAGCGGGTCTACTCTTGTTTGTGGCACTTTAACTGTTATGGCAGCACATCTGACGAAGCAAGGGGCATTCCTCAAATCCTTTGCAGCAACAAAGGTGCAATTGTGTGCAGTTACCTGGCAATAAGCCCCGTTCAACAGAGGTCTTTGTATCCTTAACCCCCACCCCATTGCCCATCTGTCACCCCTTTCAGATGCCACCAACACACCCTACACGTGTGTTCTCAGAGGAGGCACATGCGACTTCCGTGGAAGTTGCCTCCCGGTATGCGCGGGTTGCCTTTATTTATAGTAAACTGTTAACTTAGAGCAAACGTTGCTGAACCGAGCAAGGGCAAGGTCACGTCCTCCGCATGGGATGGGAGAAGAAAATCGAAAGGGGTTTAGGGAACGGGCAAGCGGACAAGGCGGGTGGCCGAAGGGAGGCTCCGAGGGCAACTCACCTTCTTGGTCGTAGACGGTGACATAGGAGATGCCCACCGCCATGCACCACACCACCAGGCTGGCCATGTCCGCGTAGCTCTGCTCCTCCTCGACCACCACCAGCCCGACGTGGCCCGGCAGCTTATGCAGAGACTTCCCGTCCTTGCGCCACCGGCCGCCGCCTCCTCCTCCGACCACCTTCCGCCCTGCCGCCGCCGGCCTGTGGTAGGCGAAAGCCCCCGTGCCCACCGCCGCCGGGGCCAGGAGAGCCCGCGAGGCGACGGCGGCCGCGGCCGAAGCCGCGCGCCGCCGCCAACGGCTGAGCCACGAGCCGCGACCTCCGAACCAGCCTCGGAACCAGGCGAAGAGCGCGCGCTGGACGTGGAGGATGAGGTGCAGCAGGCGCCACAGCAGCTCGTGCGCGACGCTCATTGGTCTGGGCGGAGGACGGCGCGAGGAACCGGACGCGGGAAAAGGAGAGGCGGCGGCGGCGGAAGCTGCTGTCGCGAGGAAGGCTCAGCCGCAGTGCGAGGCGCAAACCATCTCGCCTTCGTTTCCCTCACGGACACGGTTTTATCTGCCCGGCAACCTCCGTTAGCGCCGCCATCTCCATACCTGCCCTGACCTTTTCCCTCTTGCCTACGCACGGGCCGCCCATTGGCCGAGGCGCCGCCGCCGAGGGCCATTTCCGGGTTGGTGGAGCGAATGACGTGGCTCCCTAAAGGAAAGGGGCGGTGTCTCCGAGCTGAATTCCAAGATGAACGGGAAAGCGAGTTCTCCGCCACCTACGGCGGCGGCCCTCGGAATCAGCACGTGTTTTCCTCATGCACAGCGACATCTAGCGGCGGGAGTGTGCGCCGGCTGCTGATAGTCGCGCTGCTTGGGTTGGAGAGCGCTGCTTGACTTTGCCTTTTTCACTCCTTTAGTTTGCTCATTTTCGGTCACTGACTCTGCATAAGAGGCCACCGTACGCAACAGTTTCATCATCCGTGAATATATACTTTTCCTGTGACCGAACAAACGAAGATGCACGAGAGGAACGACCATACGTTTAGTCAATTTTATTGGTGTACTACTAATTTTCATTTATTCGCATTATTGTTTTTCCCATGACACCTCATATTAAATGCACAGCGAAGTGGATTCTAACAAAGCACTTTGTGATTTCAAAACACTACCACCCTGCCTACCCACACTCTCAAATACGAATATCTTGCTTATACAAGTAATTGCTATAGATAGCCAACATTAGTGTTGTATGAAGTGGCACTTGAATTACAACACAACAAAAGCAGAACACACACCCTGGACATTTGCTGTATGAAAAATTACAGGATTTTAGCAGGAAGCTATAGTACATCCACTGATCAGAAACGAAACAGGTCGGTTCACCCCAAACTTTTTTCATGTGCAAACAGTACTGAAACCAGGTTTGTGTATAGCCACCCAAATACCATCATTAGGGCCCCACTGAAGTGTTGTCTAAACAACATTAATACAGCACTAGATTTGTCTCATTTCCATTCCAAACATTTGGAAACAGGAAGAATGTAACAGCCCAGCCTTACCAGGTCAATCCTGGGTAGAGCTAATGATTTCAATAGGTTTAGAAGCTGCTGACTACATACAATTTTGTAGGTCAAAATGAAAAAATGTCAGGGATAGATTGCTCTGGAGGACCGAATTAATCTCGAGTTTGCAATTTACTGGGGACTTCTGTTTAATATATTTCATAATCATAATAATCATCCATGTTTACTCTGAGACTGGAGGGATTATCAACGCTTGTGTTCTTTCCTATTTCTTCTCCTTCTTCTAATGAATACAGATTGTTGTGTGCACACAAATGCAGAACCTTTCTTGAAGACATCCAGCTTTCACCCTGGCTTTCTGATGGTGCTTTACATTTTCCTCCTTTAACATCTATGCCTTTGGCTGTGAGCACCCTTCTGGTTTTGAGGAATTCGCAAGTGCAATTCCATGGGTTGCTGTCCAGATATAGGTATCTGAGTCGAGGTAAATATTTCCAGAGACTGTGATCTATGGTGGATATATTGTTGTTCCGTAGGTTTAAGACCTGCAGGTGCCTTAAATTCTTCAGTTCCTGCTCCTTAATTCTTTGTATGCTGTTTCCTTTCAGATCCAGTCTGGCTAGTGTATGTGGGAGTCTGAAGTAAAGAAAGAAACATTGTTTTATGTAGTATCTTAAAACAAGAAGCCTGTCATTAGGGTGAGAAATAATGCCTTGCCTGAAGGCCACCCAGTTAGCATTATAGTAGAAAAGTGATTTGAAACCAATTTCTTGCACATAAACCAGACTAGGGAGTAATTTGAGCAAGGACTCATCTTTGGAATACAGTGGTTTAGACTAAATTGGTTTCCTGGGAGGCATGAGTCCTGGTGCCTGTGTTTAGAAATCAGATTCTGGGCTCAAAAATCTGGCCACTGCACTGAAATAAGTGGCATGTATGCTGTTTGCACATTGATCTGTTCTGAAGCAATATCAATCTCTATTCATTATTTGTTAGATTGATATCCCACCATTTCGCCATTCAGCTCAAGGCAGCATGCACAGTCACGCCTCCCCATTTTATCCTGGCAACAGGCCTGTGAGGTAGGTTAAGCTGAGAAACAGGGAGTTGCCTAGCAGGGACGCGGACTTATAAAAAATATTGGGGGGGCCCGGGAAAGCTCATGAATAATAAATAAGCTCATGAATATGCAAATAAAGTGGCTCCGGCCCTAAATAGGGCAAGCCACGCCCCCCAGCCAGCCGATTGGCTGGCTGGGAGGTGTGGCCAGTCGGGATTCCCCTGTTCTCGCGGGGGCTGAAACCGCCAGGAGGAAGGAAATTCCCCCCGGCAGTGCCTTGGCAGTGGCGGTGGTGCTGCGAAGCAGCGAGGCAGAAGCCCCCGCCCCCGGCGCCCGAGATTATTGGGGGGGCTGAGCCCCCCCAAAAAATTTTTTGAGGGGGCTCGAGCCCCCTCAAGCCCCATGGAGTCGGCGCCTATGTTGCCTAGTTCTCCAGTGAATTTCATGGCCGAGTGGGGATTTGAACTGGTGTTTCCACAGTTCTCAGCTGACTCTATCATTATGCCACACTGGCTTTAACTTATTTAAGTATTTTGCAGTGGCACACCTAGTTTTCTTACAGTTGTTGCAGGTGTGAAAAGGCGGGCCCAATCCAGTCACATACCTTAATGGAATAGAACTAAGTAGATTTTGTTCAAGTGCCAGATTAGACAGTTGCGTGCAGTTCTGAAGTGCCCCATCTTCAAATGTGGCAACAACATTGTTGTCAAGGAAGAAGTGCTTTAGGCTATGTAGTTCCCTGAAATCTTGCGCCTTTATTCTCTCAATCAGGTTATTGCTGCAATCAAATTTCTGTAACGTGACTGGTAATCTGGATGGGATTATCTGGAGTTTATTCCCAGACAGCTCCAGTCTAGTTAAACTGGAAAGAAACTCTACGCCCTCAAGTGATGAAAGCTGATTTTCAGACAGGAAAAGCTCTGACAAGTGTGCCATTTGCCTCATATCTCCAAATTTTAGCATTTTGAGCTGGTTTCTCTCTAACTTCAATGTCAATAAAGATGCAGGCAGATCTGAAGGTGTGCTTGTCAGTAAATTGCCATTTAAGTTGAGAAATAGCAAATTGCAAAGAGATATAAAAAATCCTCCTGAGAAAGACTGCAGCTTATTGTTTTCCATGCTAAGATACTTTAGGTTGGGTAGGTAGAAGGTTCCAGACACATATTCCATATTATTTCCATCCAAAGTCAAACTTTGTAAGCTGCTGAGGGAGGAGAGAGTACTAAAAGAAAGAGCCAAAATCACATTGCTTTGTATTTCAAGTACCCTTAATTTTTGTAAACCTTCAAAATGAGATTCATGTACAACACTTATTAAATTGTCCCCCAGCTTCAGTACTTCAAGGCTTCCTGGAAGCAAGGTAGGTATGTGCCTTAGTTTATTTTTCCGAAGTTCCAAGGTCCTCAATGCATCCAGAGCTTTGAAAGTGTTATTCTCTACTGATTCTGTCCCACTCCAGGTCAGGACAAATTCTTCAAGGGCAGACATGCTGCTGATGTCAGTTACCTAAAGGACAAAAGCCACAACAAAATTATTTCTGGCCAAACTAATTCAGAGATGGATTTAGTTTCATGGAATGGCCACAAATCATCATTCAAATAAATGGGAGTTATGCAAGAACAATATTATACTGTACGTGAGCATGATTTAATTTTAGCCAAACTAGACTTTGTCCATGTTTCATGGCAAGTTGGAGCCCTCTAGAGGCTTGGCATGGAACAAACACTATACTATTCAGATTTACCCAGGAGTAAACCCCACTGAGCTCTAATATTTACAGTGCATAGGCTAGCATTGTAAAGATTAGAATATAATGAAAATTAGAATTGCTGAGTTTCCTTCTTGGATACATGTCTTAATTAGAATGTGCCTTTAGAAACATTAGTATTTCAAATTAAACAAAGCATTTGTTAGTTATAAAACAATATTTCTGTTGAATTTAGAAATATATCTTTTCATGATTCAGCAGTAAAAAATTAATGAACTGAAAAGATTTTTTTTAATAATATAAAGGACGATATCCAATATATGGCAACACTATTCTGATTCTAGAATTGAAGTGTTGTGAGTTGTAGAACCATGGATTTTTAAATTACTTAGTTTGGCTTGACTGTGTGCTTTATTTGAAATATCTTCATACATCAGTTTAGAGATGGTTTCTATTTTTGTAGAGCACACAAGAAAATGCTAGCATCATCTCATGACATAAATTTTGGCACTTCTTTTAGAAGTTTTAAGAAGAAAGAACAAAGCAGCCCTTTGTGCAAAGGTGCTCTACAGGTTTGTGTTACAACTGGCTATCCGGTCAGTAGTTGACAAAATAGTCAATTACCCTGATAAGAACCTCCATTTTTCTTTTCTGGTCATGACATGCAAATACTATTTTTCTTGCCCATGAAATTGTGATTACACTTTGTACTAATGAGCAAACAAACCTATTTGTGTAAGAACATTTATTGGTCTGTCTAATGTACAAGAGGTAAAAGTAAATTTTGGCTGTAATAAACAGATCTGTCCACACATATTAGAGCAACATTTGTCAGACAGGGTCAGTTATGGTTTTCAATCAAGGGCGCATTGGGTGGCAAACCCAAGATTTGCTGCTATGTAATCACCCACAATTGTGGCTAATACTCTGTGTGTATACAGACCCTCCTAGTGTCCCTATTTTCCAGGGATGTCTCTGATTTAAATAAGTTGTCCTGGTTTCTTATTTGATCCTAGAATGTGCCGCTTTTTCTGCTTATTTGCTTATTAAAACTTAAAGGGACAGGAGTAGGCTATGCCATTTGGCAACACTGTTGCAGAACTACCAATACCATGCATTGAACTTGTACAGAGGAAAGGTTATTTTTTGTACATGTTCAAATGAAATAAATTTATTTTTCTCAATGGTAATGGAAAACAGCTGTATAACGTCATAAATATTTGAATATTATGGGTGATATTTAATATATGACAATACTATTCTGCTGCTAGAACTTACCTGCAACAAGTCATATGCGTTATGTTTTGGTCACCTGATTTGCCCAAGCATTTGTGGGTTACTGATAACAATGGATAGTCTGGCTATTGTTTGTCTTTTAGTCTGCTTATTTATGTGCTTTTATTTACCTTGTTTTAATTATTATTTTATTAAGTTGTGTTTAACTGTCAATTTTTATGAAGTACAGTTTCGCCCTCCTAAGGTTGCTGAACTATGACTCCCATCATCCCTTGCCCTTGCTGGGGTTGATGGGAGTCACAGTTCAGCAACATTTGGAAGTGCCTGTGGTTCCCCACACCTGACACCAAGCATGGGGAACTGTTCTCTAAAATTCAGACGGGAATACTGGATGGTGGTTTTTATTTAGACAAAATAAAAGGGAGCATATTCTTGTTTCATGTTTTAAACTGAACCTTGTAGCCCAAGGCTGTGCACTCAGAACTAAGGTAATAATAATATTAATATTATTAATAATAATAGGCTTAGATCTGAGTTCATAGCCCTGGGCTACAAGGTTCAGTTTAAAACATGGAACAAGATTATTATTATTATTATTATTATTATTATTATTATTAGCAGCAGCAGCAGCAGCAGCAGCAGCACACATTGGAGAAGAGGGCTCCTGATATTGTAACAGCAGTATAGGAAAGGAAATATCTGTAGAGGCAATTCTAACCCCACCCTCCCAATAAAACCTCCAGGACCAAATTCTGCATCCTATACAAAGATTGCATATGTAATAAGTCTGTCCTCTTTTGCACCCTACCACTCTAATTTGAAAATGTAGGTTAGCTAATGAATAAACCATCCTACCTGGAGGTGTTTGATCTTGCCATGGCTGATGTAAATTCCCCTGGTAGTTTTAGCAATCTCTTTAGGCACTTCTCCAACTCTGTAGCACTGCACTCTCCCTGCCAAGTCACAGTGGCATTTCCGCGGGCAAGTGGGGGTTTGAGCTCTGCAAAGATAAAACAAGAGGAGTAAAAGGCATAACAGCTGCATTTTCCTAAATAGCACCTTCCCGAGCATCACCAGCTTAAATGTGAGCTTCAACATGAATTTAGGTGCCATGTGTTCTTTTATACCGTAACACCTGATAAAAAGATAATACAGATGCAGTGTTTTACCTTTGTTTAAAAGAGAGGGAACAGAAAAGACAATCTCTTAACTTCCTTGGGTTAAAATATTCACAGGCATCACAAAGAGCAAAAGGTTTAAACAATGATAAGGAATCTTTATTCTGGCTGGCATGGAAATTGATCTTATTTATTGGCTGTTGCCTAATCTGCAAACACTTCTGTTATCTGTAGTTTCCTAGTTTGGTTAAGTGTGACACCACAGAATGAGTTGGGAGAAAAGATAAAGAGCTGTTTTATAGTGGGCTATAAAATTTTTGGATTTTCAATGACCCCGTATTAAAAGCATCAGGAAAAAGACCCTGAAGCTCCTCTTTCATCCTGACACACAAACATAGTTGCATGATTGATCCAGAGGAAGGAAGACTGGCATTAGTAAGGTGCTGCATTATTGCAGAAAGGAGAAATCAGAATGAAAGGAGAAATCAGAATGGTTACAATATTTGGGACAACCAGGAGGGCAACCAGAAGGCAATCAGGAGGGGACATGACAAAGACATATAAAATTATGCCTAGATGGCATAATTTTCTAAATTGCATAAAAGAATTTGGGACTAACCAATTAAGCTGAATGTTAGAAGATTCAGGACAAAATAAAGTACTTCACATTGTGCATAAGCAAACATTGGAATTTATTCCTTCAACAGGTAGTGATGGCCAAAAACTTAGATGGCTTTAAAAGAGTAAATAAATCTATGAAGAATAAAGTTATCAATGGCTACTAGCCATAATGGCTATATTCTGTGTCCACTGGTGGAGACAGCATGCATCTGAATACCGGTTGCTGGCAATCACAAGTAGGAAGGGGGCTGTTGCGCTCAAGTCCTGCTTGTGGGTTTCCCAGAGGCATCTGGCTTGCCACTGTAAGAACCACATGATGGACTAGACAGGCCTTTGGCCTGATCCAGCAGGGTCCGTATTATTATTGCTGGAGTTTTTAATGTGATGGTTGCTGGCCATGCCACCAGGGCTCATATGGTGTCATTTTGAGCATTTTGTTCCAGGGGTGTGTACCGGGGGTATCATGAATTCATGCCCATCATGAATTCATTGGTTCCCTTCCTGTGTGGTCAGCATGTGGGCATCATTGGCAGCACTGTGACAACATTTCCCTGGATGCTGTTTTTATGCCATTTTCTGAGTGGTATGTTTGCCCCTCTCCTCCTTGGCACGTGTGACTAGAATACAGTAATTGTTCCACCAGTATACAGGCAGTGTATTTCTTCCTGCCCCTGCCAACACAGCTGGCCATGTAATTCAAGATTGGTCTGTAAAGGTCCCACCATTTGTCTCACTGATTTCTTGTTCTTGTTGCATTTAAAGAAACTGTTATTTTTATGTATTTAGGCATTTACGCCTTGAATACTTTATTTACCTGCCTAATAGTTTTATATTTGTTTTGTCCTTTTTTATTTTTCCCATTGGAGCAAGACTTTTGAATGCAAGCCTTTTTGTCTTGTGTGGCTTCTTCAACACTGCTCTTCCTTAACTACAATGGCATTCTCATGAGCCCACATACATGCTCCAAATTTCCTGAAGGGACTCTCGCCTATAACTTGGTTTTAAAATAATGCCCTAGGCTTTGTCAAGTTTCCTTGTCTAAAATGAATGTGACTTCAAGCTCTTTAAGGTGGTTTCTATATATACCATTCAGCAACAAATAAAGTGCTAATCAGATCCAGGCTACCACTCAATATTAAATACATACTCACCTCCTCTCCTGTAGGCTCTTTGACTAATTTATTACATTTTGAAATGTTGTTTATGTTGGCCTGAGTGTACCAGTTAATGTGAGGATAATTGAGGCCACCCATTATTACCTTTTTTCTCTTCAACTAACTCTAATTTCTTTACCTCAAGATAAGCATCAGAATTTGAGTAGAGGTGGTGATATTTCCTTCCTCCTATATTGCTTTTTTGGCTGGCTATTTCTACCCACAATGATTCTGTGATTTATTTTTTTCACCAAACGTTTCCAGTTCTTAACATTGCAATCCATACATTATTGTGGTGCACCTACTCTGCTCTCCTGCATGCACCACAGGAACCTTCACTTTATATTCTTGCACTTTCCTTGTTTGTGTTTACTGCTGGTTTTATTGCTGGTTTGTTACTTGATGTGGATGGTTTTACAAGTTATTGTTTTACGGATGTAAGACATCTTGGACAATTTAATTAGGAAGGCAGGATCAAAAAAGGTGTTAGGTAATTAAGAAGTTCGATGGACAGTATGTCCCCCGCTTAAAAACAAACAAACTTGAACAGGGATTTGTCCTTGGATTCTGGTATTTGAATGAACCACACCTGTCAGTGATAATAATCTTTATGACAGGGCAATGTTTGTTGTACTGTTTCTACCTATGCCTCTTGATGAAAAAGAGTTTGCTGTCTTATCAGGAGCAAATGCTGCACCCCTCGATACACAAAGTCATTCTGAAAATTCAAAGGAAGCTGCTACTTTCCATGGTCCTTCCAACCAGCAAAGGGATAGAGGCCTTCCAGAAATTTTAAAAGCCTGTGGAGAAAAGAACAATTTGGGACGCAAGCAAGGCCGTGATGCGAGGTTTCCTAATACAACAAAATTCCATAAAGAGGAAAAAGCAGAATGAAAGGAAAGAGAAAATCTTGGAAAAAATGAAAGAAGGTGAAAAGAAATTGAGGTCTAAACCAAAGTCTCACGAGATTTTGAGGGAAATAAAGTACTACCAGATGCAATACATGGAATTGATGAATCAAGAGACAGAATGGAAAATAAAGCAAATGAGACAAAAGACATTTGAATCGGCAGATAAATGTGGGAAACTTCTGTCATGGCAACTGAAAAAGAGGCAAAAACTGAACACTGTGACAAGCCTGGAAATGGACGGAAAGATAATCCACAAACCAAATGAGATAAGTAATTGCTTTCAAAGTTTTTTCAGGAAATTATATGCACAAGGGCCAGTCAACGAACAAGAAATAGAAGAATTTATCAAGAAGTATGGATTACCAAAGATTTCAGAGCAAAGCAAAATGATTCTGAATGAGAAAATAACAGGACAAGAAATAGAGGGTGCCATTCAGAATATGCAATTGGGAAAATCTCCAGGACCAGATGGTTTGACGGCTAAATATTATAAAGCATTGAAGGAATGGCTAGTACAACCACTGATGGAAGTTTGCAATGAAATTTTGGAGGGGAAAAAGGCACCTGAATCGTGGAAAGAAGCTTTCATCTCACTTATACCGAAAACTGAGACTGAAAAGAACCAGGTTAAAAACTACCGCCCTATATCACTACTTAATGTGGATTACAAAATTTTTGCAGATATTTTGGCAAAAAGACTGAAGAGAGTGTTGGTAGGGGAGATTCACAAGGACCAAACTGGCTTTCTTCCAGGGAGACATATGTCAGATAATGTGAGGAACATTATAGACATTTTGGAATTGTTAGAAGTGGACATTAATAGGAAAGCTGTTTTAATTTTTGTGGATGCGGAGAAAGCCTTTGATAACATTTGCTGGAGTTTTATGAAGAAGAATCTCCAAGGGATGGGGGTAGGCTAAGGTTTTGAAAACGGTATAGGTGCTATATATTCTAAACAAAAAGCAAAGTTAATTGTAAATAATGTGGTTACGGAAGAAATACCTATAGAAAAAGGTACACGACAGGGATGCCCAATATCCCCTTTACTTTTTATATCAGTCCTGGAGGTCTTGTTAAATATGATTAGAAAGGACCAGTTGGTTAAAGGAGTTCAGGTCGGAGCCAGACATTACAAACTAAGGGCATTTGCAGATGACCTAGTATTGACTTTGCAACAGCCAGATACTAGTACCAAAAGAGTATTAGAACTAATTGAGATATTTGGTCAAGTAGCAGGATTTAAACTGAACAAACAGAAAACAAAAGTGTTGGAGAAAAATCTAACAATGGCTGAAAAAGAGAAGTTTCAGAGTGAAACAGGTTTAGAGATCACAAAAAAAGTGAAGTACCTGGGGGTAAATCTGACTTCTAAGAATGTAAACTTATTTAAGGACAACTATGACAAATGTTGGACAGAAGTAAAGAAAGATCTAGAAATATGGTCAAGATTGAGACTTTCCTTGTTAGGCCGAATTGCTGTCATTAAGATGAATGTATTGCCTAGAATGCTGTTTTTATTTCAGACACTCCAGATCTTGGATAAGATGGACTGCTTCAAGAAGTGGCAGAAAGACATATCCAAATTTGTCTGGCAGGGCAAAAAGCCCAGAATAAAATTTAAGATTTTAACTGACGCAAAAGATAGAGGGGGGTTTGCCCTGCCGGACTTAAGACTCTACTATGAATCGGCAGCTTTCTGCTGGCTGAAACAATGGCTACTTCTTGAGAATACAGACATTTTGGATCTGGAAGGGTACGATAATAGATTTGGTTGGCATGCATATATATGGTATGACAAGGTAAAATCGCATAAAGGCTTTAAAAACCATATTGTTAGGAAAGCATTATACAATGTTTGGATAAGATACAAAGACCTATTGGAAAGTAAAACTCCCAGGTGGTTATCACCAATGGAAGCTAAAGAGACTAAAAAACTTAATATGGAGTCTAAATGGCCAAAATACTGTGAAATATTAGAACAAGATGGTGAAAGAGTCAAATTACAGAGTTATGAGAAATTAAAGTCTAAGGTAAGAGATTGGTTGCATTACCTTCAGATAAACGAGGTATTTAAACAGGACAGGAAAATAGGTTTCCAGATGGAGAGGTCAAAATTAGAAACAGAACTGTTAGAACCCAATACTAAGAACTTGTCAAGAATGTATAATTTGCTGTTGAAATGGAATACACAGGATGAAACGGTGAAATCAGCTATGATTAAATGGGCACAAGACATTGGGCATAACATTATGTTTGCTGACTGGGAACAGTTATGGAATGCTGGTCTTAAGTTTACGGCATGCAATGCTTTAAGAGAAAACATTATGAAAATGATTTACAGGTGGTATATGACCCCAGTCAAGCTTGCAAAAATTTACCATTCGCCCAATAACAAATGCTGGAAATGTAATGAGACTGAAGGTACCTTTTACCACCTTTGGTGGACCTGCCCGAAGATTAAAGCCTTTTGGGAAATGATCTATAATGAAATTAAGAAGGTTCTTAAATGGACCTTCCCTAAAAAACCTGAGGCTTTTCTCCTGGGCATGGTTGGCCAATTGGTGACAAAGAAGGATAGGACGTTTTTTATGTATGCTACTACAGCAGCAAGAATTCTTCTGGCAAAGTATTGGAAGACACAAGAGCTACCCACTCTGGAAGAATGGCAAGCGAAGGTGATCGACTACATGGGATTGGCAGAGATGACCGGCAGAATCCGTGACCAGGGGAAAGAGACAGTGGAAGAAGACTGGAAGAAATTTAAAATTTACCTTAAAAATTGTTGTAAAATTGAAGTGTAATGAGATGTTAAGGTGTTAAGAAATAGAGAATTGCAGCTGTAAACAATAAGTTAAGGAAATTAGAATGAAAGTGAATTAATTAATCAGTTGGAGGGTTGCTGAAGAAAGGCAAAAACAAGGATGCAGAAAAGGGGAGGTATGGGGAAGTCCGGGAAGCAAGGTGTAGGAAGATAAGATTACGAAAGTATACATGTTTATATGTTTGTATGTTTTGTTTGATTGTTTGTTTTTATTATATGCTTGGAAAATTAATAAAAATTATTTATAAAAAAAAAACAGAAATTTTAAAAGCCTTCCCATTTATTTAAGACTGCAATCATATGCACACATGCTAAAAAGCCTCACTGATATAGTGGGATTTGCCTTTGAGTACACATGCGCATAATTGGACTATTATGCTAGCTCCATCCAGAGCCAGTAACACCGAATTTGGTCAGACAGGTTGTAGGTGCTAAGATTCCTCTTTGCAGTTACATTGTATTCAAACAAAGCAGCACAGAGGTGGAGGGAAGGAATCCTTAGCAGCCTAATTATTGTTTTGTTTTTTTAAGGGATCAAACAAAATTCTTGCCAAAATGATAGGGTATTGCAGTACAGAAAGTATCACTGCTGGTTTTTGCAATTTATTTAAATGACTAAACTCCTGTTCTTAGAAATGCTGAGTCTTCAAATAAGCTTTTAAAAAATCTTCCAAGTTTGTAAAAATTGAATGGGTGGAGAGGAGGAATTTTTAAATAAGTGTTTTAGGATATGTGATGCTAGCACACCTGTCCAAGTTATATTCTTGGAGGATAGGTGGGAGGAAAGCAATTCTGCTCCCCCTATAACACAATATATTCGCCCAAGTAGAAGGAAAATGTGATTACCACACAGCAGATATGCTAACAGGTTTGTTCGTATCCCACTTCTTAAGTACTGTGTTACTCCCTGCACAAATGGAAGTAAGTTTGGATGGTCTATTAGGGGACAGGCTAGTAAACTGCGAATTCACTGTGACTCTGAACACAACAAATGGAAAGGATTTCAAGCCTTATTCAAGCCTATGACGTATTTAGGGAACTTTCCACGCTAATCATTTAGAATGTAAGCCTCAGGTAAGGGACTGTTTTTTTCACACTGCCGTACAATGCCATTTTTAAAAAAATGTTTCTTGTATGCTGCAACAGTTCATACGTCTAGTCTCGAGACTGAACTTTTTAGGGCCAAAATAGCCTTGGTTTTTTTTTACCCGGGAACATGCAGTGTTTCCTTCCGAACCCGCCTTTAGTGCTTGCACTTGTGTAGAGCTCAAGTAGTGGGGGCAGAAGGTAGATCCGGCTGATCGCAGTAGATCGGGAAGGGTCTCTGACTTCCAGCAACCAAACTTCCTTTCCTCACTAAAACAAAAACCTAACCTAGCATGGACTTTTGAGCGCAAGAGCTCAGTTAAGACCTCAAGTTAAGTGCTAGCACTGGAAACAAGTGCCTGGGCTCAGAATGTGCCCAGAGAAAGGCACCTTGTTCTTTAATTCCAAGCCCTTTGCTGTGGGTGGTAGATGTTCCTAGTAATAAAAAAACGTCCCCCACCCCCAATTAAGACCGCCTTGCTCAGCCACAGCTTCTAGGAATATAGCAACGCTCAGAAACGGACTCAGGCAACCTCCCCGTCGCCTCGCGCTCTCTCCCGCGCGGCTTCCTAACGCCAATGCGAGCTCCCGACGGGCCAATAAGCAGCAGCATTGCAGGTCGCTATTGCCGGCCGCTGTGGGAAACGAGACGCTGGGCTAGACAGGCCTGTCGAGGAAGATCCAGGAAGGATCTTCTCACGTCTTTAAGCGAATGAGAACCAGACCGAAAACCCGGCTGCTAAACTCGCGCCGTCCTCGAAGTAGAGCTGCGCCGCAGCGCCCCCTCTGGCAGAGAGCAGCAGCAGCAGCGCCAGCGCCCGTCGATCGACGATTTGTGGGGAATCTCGGCCCAACCGACCTGACTGCCAAAGAAGCCTCCGTTGTGGCAGGCCGAAGAAGCCGAGCGCCGATCTGCTCGGCAGCGGTTTTCCTGCGTTGCCCTACCGGGTGACGGAAGCGAAGTCGCACCTAGCGCGCATGCGCCGCCTCGCGAGGAGAGCCGCCCCCTCCCACCCCTCGTTCTCCTCAGCCGCTGCTCCGCCCTCGAGCTCAGGCCGACGCTTCCCTGTCCCGCCTCGCCTCGCGGGCACCGAGAGGAGGAGGGGGCCGTCCCGCGGGCGCCGGCGAGGGTTAGGTCGGGTCGGCTGGGGACGCCGGTGCGCTAGCGCGGCAGGGCTCGTTGGAAGAGCGGAGGCGTCTCCCGCCGAGGGCTCACAATGTCTGGCGTGGGAGTGGGCTCCTGCGGGGGGTCGGGCTCAGGGGCCTGTGGCGGCGGGGCGGGGGTGGCGGCCCTCCTCGTCGTCGTCTCCCGGCGGAGGCGGCGGCCTGTCGATGTTCCGCTGGCTGGAGGTCCTGGAGAAGGAGTTCGACAAGGCGTTCGTGGACGTGGACTTGCTGCTGGGCGAGATCGACCCCGACCAGGCGGACATCACCTACGAGGGGAGGCAGAAGATGACCAGCCTCAGCTCCTGTTTCGCGCAGCTCTGCCACAAAGCGCAGACCGTCTACCAGATCAACCACAAGCTCGAGGTGAATTTGTGGAGCGGGAGAGAATAGCTGCCCTCCCCCCCCCCCGCTGTGGGCCCTCTTGCGGGGAACGGGACGGAGGAGACGCTCGGGTTTCCCCTCTTTCTTTTCCCCTTCAGAGGCACTAGGAGGAAGCAGATCATGGCCACACCCTCAGTTTCCTATCTCTGAAATGGGAATAAATGGCGAACCCCCCTCCCCCAACTTCCAAGGCAAAGCAGTGACACCTGCCCCATACTGTGAGGACACAGGCGCCTCCATCAACTCGTTCATAGCGTCTTGGCCTTGCGGTAGAGACTTGGAAACTTTGCCAAGGGAGCAAGGATGTTCGTCTATGGCTCTTCCTTGTAGGCAACAGTTATTACGGTTTTGGTGACTGGCTAAAAATTAAGCTCAGTGTAGTAGGAAGTAATGTTAGGGGGTGTGGCAGAGCAATGTGCTGAAACCCAGCTTCTGATAAATCTGGGTATAGACTTTCAGAAATCAAATATCTAATAAAAATGGTGTTTTATGTAGTTTTCCAGATTTGGAGTCTCTTTGGATTTTGAACTTTTAAATGTGTCTGTTACATGGTAATGTGAGATTCAAACATGACCCATGACCTCACTGGCTCAGTGGTAGAGCATGCTTTGAATCTTTATATACATGCTCTGTATCAGAGTGGTCTTCATTTTTTCCAGACCTGTGACCCACTTTAATTACCACCCAGAATTGGAAATTACCTATGCCTGTCTTCTCTCAAACACATTGTCTCTTTTTCAAATGCACCAGCTCTCAAATTTTAATACTTTGCTGTTAGAGTGTAGGATTCAATATTATATTTTTTTTGGCATGAAATGTGGACAGAGCAGGGACAAGTCACAAGTCTGTGTGAGCACACTACAAAAATCAAGGTGTAGGGCAGGGCTGGGAACCTGTGGCCCACCAGACACTGTTAAATTCAAAATCTCATAAGCCCAGGCCAACATGGTGTAAGCAGTGGTATCTGGAGAAAAATACGTAGTGCAAATGTAGTCTGTATCATAACATGACAAAATAAGCATTTTGTTATAAACTTGTTTCCATCTTTTTTCAGGAGCTGTTGTTACAATTTATTCATTGATTTACATTGATAATGAAGCCTGTATTATTACAATAATTGCAGTATGCTATGGAAGAAATATTATATTTTGTTAGATGGAACAAATAACTATCTTTCACAACTTTATAGTATTGGGCTGCTAAATCCAAATTATAAGTACTATTATGGACAAGACAGTGGCTACAAACAACATGCAAAAAATTAAGTACATACGATAGTAAGTAGTAGCAGGCATGGGTATGAGCATATTAGAATAAAATGTATCAGTCTGATTATTATCATTCAGTAATAGTTGTAGAGTAATAGTAATAGTTGTAGGTTAAGTCTGAATAACACACAATTCCAGGATTTTACTATGGTGCAGAAAATTTCATCCAGAATCGGACCATGCCCATAAGAAACATTGGTAGTCTGTTTTATTTCTCCAGGTAGAAAATCTTCATATTTCACCAGAATAAGTCTTCTCTCTCTAGAGGAGAGACAAAACAAGTTAGGGCTGCAGAGATTTAGATGATCATTAACTAAGATTAAGGTGTTGGAGCTGGGCCACAGTACAGTATACTCCTTCCCATTTCTTGCTCTAATTTTCCCACTCACTAATTCTTATAACAGTTATGTTTAAGGACTTATAAGCAGAAAAAGCTCAATATTTTTGCCCTGCATCCCCCCAAAACAGGGCTTTCCTCCTCCCTAAAAAAGCTCAACAACTTTGACCTGAATCCCCCAAAAAGGGGGTAGATCACTGCCAGTCTCTAACTCTGTGAGTAGATCACAGTCTCTTGGGAGTTGGCCACCCCTGGGATAGAACAAAGCCTTCTATAGGGAGTCGTGTATGAGGAGGCTTTATGGAGCTGCAGTCTCCAAGGCAGATGCTTGGGGTGTGAAGAGTGAGAGTCTGCATGTGTGGTACATGCCCACATTTGTCTTGGCCCTCAGAAAATTGGCCAAGAGGGAATGTGGCCAAAAAAATGTTCCCCATCCTTATCTTAATAGTTTCAAATATTGGAGTTAATGATCTTCTTGTCATCAGTTTATTAATCACTTTCTATACAATTGTTTCAAGGTGATGTACAATAAAAACACAAGGCAGACATATATAAAGCAAAACAAAAACAATACAAAATAGACTCTAATGTTGGTACCATTTTAACCCTGTTAACCTGATAAGTTTTCAACTCTGTTTCTAATAGGACTATGCTCAAAATAAATGTTAGTAGTCTGCCTTATACCAGGTTAGACTATTTCTTGGTCTAGCCTAGTATTGTCTACTCTGACTGGCAGTCTCTCTCCAGAGTTTCAGGTTGATAGTCTTTAACATTACCTGCTGCTCCCAATCCTTTTTAACTGAAGAGACCAGAGATTCATCCTGGGATTCTCTATGTTAAAAAAGTGTTTTTGAAACCTCAGGTACGTTTGAAGTTCCAGCACCATATATTGCAAAATATCATCTGTCTAGTAAGCTGCAATGCCATTATTTAGTAACATTAGGCTTTAAGATAGAACTTAGAAACTGGTCCACTCCTGAAATCCTACTTATTCTATAGTAATGTGAACTTACTCTTGTCTGAACAAGTGATTGTCGTCAATTTATAATGTGACTTCAGCATACTAGTTCATTTTTAAAGCTAGCTTATAATGTTCCTCTCCTTTTGTCATTTTTTTATAAGAAGCCCAGTACTCTGACTGTAGAAGTCAACTGTGCTCAGGACATAGTGAGATCATCATGTTATCTTTTTTTGCTTTTTCCCAAGTATTCTTGCATCACAATTCTATATATTCCAAGTTAACACTGCAGTTTGTGTTAAGTGTTGGCTTCTCACTTGTGGAAGGTAATTTTTTTGCTAAATGCTTGTATCTTTCTATAACATGTCTCATATTATTCCAGAAGGTCCCCCATACCATGAGCAGCTTTTAGGGGGCTTCAAGGGTCTGCAGTAAGTACGGAGAATAAAAGAAAATCAGGTATCCTGCATTGCAAAAGTGCTTTCTGCTACTGCAGAGCCATCACTGAGTAAACCCCAATGAAGCTAAGTTATTACAAATAAATTTATACCTTTCTTTTGAAGAATACTCACAAAGCCTTTGTTAATAAAAGTTATTTCCTATGGTATTGAAATACTATTAATATTTTATAGATTAGTACATTGTTTTTCAAATTGTATGTCTAATCTTCATATTATTATTTGCGAAGCCGTGAACAAGTTAGGTCCAGGATATCTTAATGACCACCTGCACTCTTATTTCCCAGCTTGGTTGCCTAGTACTGTTAGTTGTTTCCCGTGTTTCCGAAGCCTTACTGGTCTCAACTATGGGTCAGACATTTAGTGTTGCCATTTCCATTCTGTGGAATGCTCTCTCAGCAGAGATTTGGTAGGCAGCCTCACTGTTAACTTCCTGACTTCATCCTATTCAGTTGTTTAATTTTCTTCTAGTCATTTTTGTGAGGTCGTGTGACGAAAAAGATAGGTTTTTCGTGTTCACCATGCCCCCTCCTATAAGTATGCCATGAGTAGTATGGGGGAAGCACTCAAAATCTAAGTTACATGTTTTTTTGTAAACAACAGGTTTTAAAAAGAAATTCAGAAAACAAGAGAGTGCATAGAATAGGCAGCAGTTAGGTCACTCATCAGCTGTCATTTTCTGTAATAAAGCTATATGGAAATGGTTGTTATAAAACCTTGTGTTTTGAAAGTGCCAGGGAAATGTGATATCCTTACAACAGAGTGCTACCTTGAGGAAATGTTTTTTTCCATGCTGCTGCAAATGAATATCAACTGTACATTTGCTCCATTGCAATGGTGCTTTTAGATCTATGACTATAGACTTCTGAAGAACACCAGGGTAGTTCTTCAATGAAATAAGTGATAAAGGGAAACAGCTGGAAGATAGCATGCCTCCCATTACCAACCTTTTCCTGCAGTGCACAGTTAAAGGTCCCAGTTGAGTGTATCTCGGTTTGTGTTTGGTCACAGCTGGGCATATGAGTGGAGAGTGACCCTAACGCAAGCCTTGGAAGTCTTTTTAATGCAGAGCTGTTTTTCCTCAGCTTATGATAATGAGAGTCAACCTGGTAGTCACAGTGAACCATTTTTAACTTCTGCCCAGAACTAAATCTTGTGGTGAATCCATAGGTCATTCGTATGATATGTGAAAAAGTGCCTTTGTCCTGAACCTACTGCCAGTCAGCTTTATCGAATGACCCTCACTTGTATTATAAACAAAGTGAACATTTTCTCAATGTTTGTTTTATTCATAATATTATAAGCCTCAGTAATGTATTTCCTTTGAAGTTGTATGCTGAATTTAAAAGAGCCAAACAAATGCTTTAACTAATATGTACATAGAGTTAAAATAGGTTTCCCTTAGGCACATCACTTTAAACTTTCAGGGTAAAAATAAAATAAAGTATTCTTCAGCTGGTACTTACCTTACTGAAAAATGTGTGTTGGTAGGCTAGATAAGCTGCTTTCAGTTATTCTCTTCAGAGGATCCTGATGATAATAGCTGATTTCTAAAAATAAATTGGTTGAGACTGATGAATTTGATATTTTGTAAAAGGTAGTCACCTTCCTTCTCTGAAGTGATCTGCATTACAGTCTGTTCTTCTGGTGTGACTTAGGATGTAGTGATATGCTAAGCTGAGTCCCTTTCATGTTGGTATGGTTTTTAAAGTTCTGGTTTGAAATTGTTTTTGCAGAATGGTATGGTATTGTAAGCATATTGCTGTTTATTTCTGTAACATTTTTTATTGTGCAAAATTTATCACAGAGGTCCTCATGACAACCCTGCAGCTCTGCCCACTCCCAAGTGATCTTCTCTTCAGAAGCTCTTCTGTGCCCGCCCCCTGGTCTTCTAAGGCAGTGATACAAGATAGAATCTCCTTTCTGCTGGGATCCAAACTCTTGGGGAGATGGTTGTCCATTAACGCTGTTGTTATGGAGAGACCATTTCCTCATTAGATTGGTTTGATGGTGGAGATCCCTCATTGAGTATGACTGAGCACAGTGCCATGTCTAAAGGACTTATTTTGCTTCATCCATTGCAGTATCATCGAGCAGAGTGGTTCTAAGTAGTAAAGAGTCTGTTGTAGTCAGACTTAGAAGGAAGTGGATTGGATCCCTGGGTATTTGCTGTGATAAATTTGTTAAACACTTGGAAGAAAAGGTTGCTTGTATCCTATTGTCCCAACTATAGTGTCAAGTTGCAATATCTGTGGAGCTGTCCAGTGTACTGTCTGTTCAGGTATCTTGGAATCAGCTTTGGTTGGTGTTTTCTGAGGAAGTGGATGAGACGATTGAATCAGTGAATCCAACCAACTACAGGTGCTCTCAACCCTTACCTGTAATGGCACATATCAGCTCTGTGGGATGTTTGGGGCATGGTACTATCATGGTTCTATTCCTACTTATAGGATAGGTTCCATAATGTAGTATTGACGAACTTCTGCTCTGCCCTATTGGAGACCACAGGGTTCTATTCTGCCCCCTGTGCTATTTAACAACTTTATGAAGCCATTGAGAGAGGTCACTGGAACTTTTGCAGCTGGTGTGCTGATTATGGTGTGCTGTATGCTGATGATACCCAGCTGTGTTTCTTCATGACATCTGAGTCGGGTGAGGTTGTGCAAGTCCTGGATGTCTATAGCTATATGCCTGCCGTTATGGACTGGATGAGGGCCAGTAAACTGGAACTGCATCCTGACAAGATGGAAGCTCAGTGGATTGGTGGGTTTGATTCCAGAAATTAGGTGATCAACTTGGTCTATAGATGGGACTGCAATCCTGAAGGAACAAGAATGTAGGCTGGGAGTACTCTATATTCAATCTTGCCACTCAAAGCTTAAGAGCTTTGGTGGCTTGGAGCAGTTTCGGCAAATTTTGACTGACCTGCCAATTGACTGTTGCTAGACAGAAGCAGTCTAGTCATAAGGGTGTCTGCTTTTGTAACTTTGCAGTTAGATTATTGCAGTGTGCTCTACATGGGGCTGCTCTTGAAGATGACAAAAGGGACAGAAGCCAGCAGCAAGATTGCCATTGAGAGTCTCTCATATAATCCATCTATGGCTGGTCATAAAGAAATTACATTGACTGCCAAATGCTTCCTGTCTGCTTTCAATGTGTTAATGATGACACTTAGAGCGCTAAATGGCTCGGGACCTCAGTACTTGCAAGGTTGCCCCTCTCCATATATTTCTCCCTGAGAATTAACATTTGCTAGGTTGGATAGGGTACTCTCTTGTGCGTCCCTCCCCTGGAAGCTGAACATTATGTGGAGATGCAGGAGAGATCCTTTTCTGTTGTGGTGCTCCAATTATGGAATCCCCGCCTTCCTGACACTGATATTGACTGTAAATTGGCACAAATTTAAACCTTACTTTTTTCTTTGACTTTTGGGCCATTTTGAGAGTAGTTCAGTATTTGACCTGCTTGTGCTGTTTGTTGGTGTCAAGCATTTTAGACTTTGTGTTGAATATAACTAGTGCTTTATGGTTTTTGAATTTCAAGGATTGTTTTATTGATTGTTTTACAGGTATATTCCAACCTGAGATCAACTGCTAATAGAGCAAGTTAGAAATATTTTGACAAATAGTGACACTGATGTTCTAAACATATTAATAGCTTGAAGGCGATTAGAGAACATCAATGCTGTCTTTTATTTCTTACTCTATTTCTGATGCATTGATGCTTCCTTCTCTTCTTTGAATCAAATCAGTAACACATCCATAGATAAAAAGTGATGGATCAAGCCCTATTTGTATGTAAGTTTATGTTATAATTAAAAGTTTGTTGAAGTCTAGGAATTGAAGTTGATTTAAAAATTGTATTTTAGAACAACTTTCAGCAATAATCAATATTAATGAGAAGTAAAATTTACAATACACCCAATACACTTTCCCTCACTGGAATCAGTTACTGGCAAAGTATAATCTCCCAATTTTCATATGGAGCCTAGCACTTCTAAAAGCATTACTTACTATACCCTGTAGTTCATGTAGTTGCCTTGGAAACCCTTAAGTTGAATGGTAGGATAAAAATTTTTTTTAAATAATATAGTTTTAACCATCTTAGTGATTCCTGTAGTGAAATGTGCACATAAATCTTGTTAAAGCTGTCCAATCTCCCCCCCCCCCTATTTAGTTCAGAGGAGATCAGTTTTGCTAAACAGTTGTAAGCAACAAGTCAGTTTTTAGCATTTGACTTCCTGTTGGCAAATTGTACATCTAGACTGTATGTTTGCGCAAGATGGCAATTATATCAGCAAGACTTGCTCAGTCATTATTGTTTGCAATTGGCGGAGTGTCTTTTCTAAGCTCTTACAGCTATGAAAGAGTAATCAACATAAAAGAAAATAGTGATCATGAATTATAACACACCACTGTTTAGACTACTATAGCCTTTCGTTTCTTGCAGTGATAAATTGTAAATGTGTTATGCTACAGTTTAACAATGCTTAGTATACTTGGGGGTTGGTCTTCTTCCACCCACCCACACTCTTCAGCAATAACCATAAAATCAAGAAACAGTTAAGGTAAAGGCTATTGCATTCCTCCAGGCTTTCCTAAAGCACAGTAAGGTGTAGGGTAATCCACTACTATTTTGTAGTCCAGGCTTCCTCAAACTCAGCCCTCCAGATGTTTTTGGCCTGCAACTCCCATGATCCCTAGCTAGCAGGACCAGTGGTCAGGGATGATGGGAATTGTAGTCTCAAAACATCTGGAGGGCCTAATTTGAGGAAGCCTGTTGTAGACTGACATACCAGTAAGAATAAACAAGCAGGAAACAATTGACTATTAGCTGTGTTAAAAGATCACAGGATATTAACTGAATCATATATTTGTATGCTGTTGATGCCCAGTTGAATGTTAACGCTTACTAGATAAACTAAAAGGCCCCTGATATTAAACAATTTATATAGCAGAAAGCAAAAGCTAATTCCCAGCTAGAGGTCTTTCATTGCTGAAACACATTAATCAGCTAGTGGTTATGCTAAATCTTTAACTGTCATTAACCTTAGAATTTTACCATTCTAACTGTTAGAATATGATTTGCCAAACTTGCTTGGAACTTGAGCATGAACATTCTTTTTCTCTTTCAGTATGTAATATATTTCTGATTGGTTGTGCCAAACATTCCATATATGTTATGACTCGGTAGGTCTGTTCCTTAATATCATTGTGTATAAATGACCACTATTCCTGTATGACAGGATTTTAACATGTTATTAAAGGGTGGAATCTTCTCACTTTTTCAGTTTATTCCATAATATTCTGTTCCCGTTATTGATCAATCAGTTTGATTCAATCTGTGTTTAGGATTCAAGCTTGCACAGATTGAAAAAACTTCTTCTTAAGCGGTTTTGTGGCTATGTAAAGAAACCTGTGTTATTTGTTTGGTTTAAAAGCTGGTGGTTTACACTAATTTGAAGGACAGAAAACATCCAGAGTCAAAATATCTTTTTCTATAGACTTTTTAATCATGTGGATTATTAAATAACTTATGTTCCAGGCACAGCTAGTGGACATGAAATCAGAACTGACAGAAACACAGGCTGAAAAAGCAGTATTAGAAAAAGAGGTGCACGATCAACTATTACAACTCCATGCCATCCAGCTTCAACTCCATGCAAAAACTGGTCAGAGTGTTGACTCGGGGACAATAAAAGCAAAGTTGGTGAGTACTAGTAACAGGAAGGACCTATTTTTTACATCAGAGTTGTTACTCCAAACTACTGTATTTACTCAAGTCTAATGTGCCATCAAATCTAACGTACACCTCAATTTTCAGAACCTTTAAACCAAAAAAAGTATTTGCTGGTGAATGTAAATGTGCCATCAAATCAAATTTTCCCAATGTAATTTGGCCAAAAAAGGTGAGCATTAGAATAGAGTAAATACGGTATTTTATTTGTATGCATGTGTGCTCATAGAATTCATCTTCCGTCTTTCTGTATTATCTAGGAAGCAGTTTATCTAGTTTATCTGAATGTCACTTGCCATGGTTAGGCTTGCTACCTAAGAAACTGTTAAATCTATTAGCTAGAGATGTAAAATGAAGTGGAGTCCCCCCCCCCCCATCAGCCCAATTTGGCCTGCCAAGACTATCCAGTTGACCTGCCAAGCCATCTTCCCTACACTGGGCATCACATATGAAATCACATAAAGGTGGTGCTTGACCAAAAGGGGCTTTGCAGGGACCGTACGCCTTGTGACCTGTTATGCAAGCGTCTGACAAGCTGCTGGTTGTTGGATCCTTCCGAAGCACTGCACAAAGTGTATGAGAAGTGCTGAGAACAGGGATTACAAAACACTTCGTGCATCACTTCCCAAAGGCCCAACAATCATTTTGGGAATTTGAGAAGTGCTGTGCAAATCTTTTTCCAAGAGCCAGTTTGGTGTAGTGGTTAAGAGCGGTAGTCACGTAATCTGGGGAACCGGGTTCGCGTCTCCGCTCCTCCACATGCAGCTGCTGGGTGACCTGGGCCAGTCACACTTCTTTGAAGTCTCTCAGCCCCACTCACCTCACAGAGTGTTTGTTGTGGGGGAGGGATAGGAGAATGTAAGCCGCTTTGAGACTCCTGAGGGGGAGTGAAAGGCAGGTATCAAATCCAAACTCCTCCTCCGCTGCTGCTGCTGCTGCTGCTGCTGCTGCTTCTTCTTCTTCTTCTTCTTCTTCTTCTTCTTCTTCTTCTTCTTCTTCTTCTTCTCAGTGCTTCCCTAGCACAAGGCAACCAGCTGATAGCCAGGAGTTGGGGAAGTGCTGAGCTTTGACAGGTATCGATCAACTGATGTCATTATGATGTCAGTTGATGACTAATGAGTAGCTCTGACCACCCCAATTGGGTGGAGGAGCTAGAGAACTGGCCCACTGGACCAAAAAGATTCCCCACCTCTGATGTAGAGGATTCCACTGTCATAGTTAGAAGTTTTTAGAGGAGGATTTTTGCATCTCCTATTTTTGTGGATTGAATTCAGTATGGAATTGAGGCATGCAAGTAGCACACATTTGGATAAGAGCTTTCTAAGTGCTTGTCCAGTTATAGTAGCACATCATGTATTTAGTGAACTATCTGGTCAGTCGAATTCCAGTGTGCTAGGGGCTGCATGAGATTTTATTCATGGCTAAAGTCAACAAATTTTGGGCTACTGTATCTTAGCATTTTATTCACATACACTTAGAATTAAGAACTGTGAAATAAGTTTTGTGAGCCCAAAGTCCCCTGCCCTTTATAGGAACACATGTATACCTAGCAAGTTACAATTTGAAACCAAGGAGAGTTTCAAAAGCACCATAAGGACATCAGAGCCCTGCGGAATCAGACCAAAAGCCTATCTGGTCCAACATCTTGTTCCCACACAGTGGTTGGCTAAAGAAATCAAAAGTTCGAGTCTGCTAGTACAGGTCTTATCAATGAACCTGAGTAGCAATCTGAATTCCAGACATACATTTGAAGTGATTAATTATTTGATTTAAAATCAGATGGTCAATCAAAAGTATAAAACTTCATTTTGCCAAGAAACAAATATCAGTAACTTTTGAGGGTATTTGTAGGAAATGCTTAGTTTATGTAAAAGGTGTGATAACGTACAAAATCTGCTGCTCATTGTTAGCTGGAAAGGCATACTTGTTTTTCAGTTCCTGCTAGTTCTTGTTCAAACCATATCAGATGATGACTGTGCCCATGAAAAAGAAGGGAGAGGAACTGAAAAAAGATAATCTCCAGACCAGTCTTTTAAAATTCGCCCCATCAGTATTCACATCTCTTTTAAAAAAAAAGAATGCTTGTTGCAGTGCAGGCTTCGATTATTTGCTAGTAAAATCACAGTTTCTATTTATTTGGAGACATTTCCCCATTTCACAGTGTGAGAGAAATTCCATTTTCAATGAGCAAGTATTTATAGTAACTGTCTTCTTTGTAACCATGGATCATACAATTTGATTACTGCTTAGATTGAGAATCTTGTCAATGTATGGCCTTATAATTTTGATATTTTTTGGGGGGGGCAGTATTTCTAATTACTAAACTTTTTTTCTCTCATCCTAAGTCTGCCCCTTCTGTGGAGGATATGGTAAGTTCACTGGCTGTCTTCATCTGTGTTTAATTCAAAGCAGTGCAGTAGTTTTCTGCAGAGCTGCGCATATTAGCCTGGAGAGTTAGTGCCAGTGAATGTCTGCTAGATTCTTTCCTTTCCACAGTCTCTTAGCCAAGTCCCTGTTTATGTTCAGTGTTCTTTTTAGATTTGATGCTCTTTTCCACTCAACATGCATGTCTGTATTGCTGCTGTTGATTGCTATGACTAATGTGGGAATTTTGAAGTAAAGCTTGGAGTTGAGTCTAAATGTAGCAGGTTATTAAAGATTGACTTTGATCGCAATCCAGAGATCCAAGCGACTAACTCTGTGATGCACTCAGGCTTTGAACAAAATCAGCTGTGATATGGCATGGCAGTCAGCTGTTCAAGAACCAAAACGTCACACAAAGTGCAGTGAAACCCAAAATGTTTGTCTGTTTTTTTGTCCAGAATCCACAGTGTTTTAAGAATACCTATACAGTGGTACCCCGCAAGACGAATGCCTCACAAGACGGAAAACCCGCAAGACGAAAGGGTTTTCTGTTTTGGAGGCGCTTCGCAAGACGAATTTCCCTATGGGCTTGCATCGCAAGACGAAAGCCCATAGGGAAATGCTGGCGGTCGGGAGCAAAGACTTTCGCCCACAGCCGGCCTTCAGAAGAGGACCTCTTCTGAAGGCCGGCGGGGGGCAAAAGTCTTTGCTCCCCCCCGCCTGCCTTCCCCCCGCCTGCCCGGGGCGATCTTAAAATGCTGGCGGCGGGAGCGAAGCGTTCGCTGCCGACCCCCAGCATTTTAAAATCTCCAAGGGACAGCAGAGAAGTCTCTGTCCCGGGGAGATTTTAAAATGCTGGGGGTCGGGAGCGAAGCGTTAGCTGCCGACCCCCAGCATTTTAAAATCTCCCCCTGTCCCGGGGAGGTTTTAAAATGCTGGGGGTCGGGAGCGAAGCGTTCGCTGCCGACCCCCAGCATTTTAAAATCTCCCCGTGTCCCGGGGAGGTTTTAAAATGCTGGGGGTCGGGAGCGAAGCGCTGCCGACCCCCAGCATTTTAAAACGCTGTTCCGAGGGGGGGGGTGGGGACACCTGCCCCAGCCGCCCCACTTCGGAAAGCTGTTCCGAAGCGGGGAGGGGGGGCGGGGACACCTGCCCCAGCCGCCCCACTTCGGAAAGCTGTTGCGAAGCGGGGAGGGGGGGCGGGGACACCTGCCCCAGCCGCCCCACTTCGGAAAGCTTTTCCGAAGCGGGGACACCTCCCCAGCCGCCCCCACTTCGGAAAGCTTTTCCTGAAGCGGGAGGGGAGCGGGGACACCTTGCCGGCCAGCCGCCCCACTTCGGAATAGCTTTCCGAAGCGGGAGGGGGGGCGGGGGGACCCTGCCCGCACGCAGCCCCACTTCGGAAAGCTTTTTTCCCGAAGCGGGGGAGGGGAGGGCGGGGACACCTGCCCAGCCGCCCTGGGCCACTCTCGGAAAGCTTTTCCGAAGCGGGGAGGGGGGGCGGGGACACCTGCCCCGCCGCCCCACTTCGGAAAGCTTTTCCGCAAGCGGGGGAGGGGGGCGGGACACCTGCCCCAGCCGCCCCACTTCGAAAAGCTGTTGCCGAAGCGGGGGGGGGGGGCGGGGACACCTGCCCCAGCCGCCCCACTTCGAATAGCTTTTCCGAGCGGGGAGGGGGGCGGGGACACCTGCCCCAGCCGCCCCACTTCGGAAGCTTGTTCCGAAAGCGGGGGGGGGGGGGCGGGGACACCTGCCCCAGCCGCCCCACTTTCGGAAGGCTGTTCCGAGTGGGGGGGGGCGGGGACACCTGCCCAGCCGCCCCCTTCGGAAAGCTGTTCCGAAGCGGGGAGGGGGGGCGGGGCAACCTGCCCGCAGCCGCCCCACTTCGGAAAGCTGTTCCGAAGGCGGGGAGGGGGGCGGGACACCGTGCCCCAGCCGCCCCACTTCGGAAGCTGTTCCGAAGCGGGGAGGGGGGGGCGGGGACACCTGCCCCAGCCGCCCCACTTCGGAAAGCTGTTCCGAAGCGGGGAGGGGGGGCGGGGACACCTGCCCCAGCCGCCCCACTTCGGAAAGCTGTTCCGAAGCGGGGAGGGGGGCGGGGACACCTGCCCCAGCCGCCCCACTTCGGAAAGCTGTTCCGAAGCGGGGAGGGGGGGCGGGGACACCTGCCCCAGCCGCCCCACTTCGGAAAGCTGTTCCGAAGCGGGGAGGGGGGGCGGGGACATCTGCCCCAGCCGCCCCACTTCGGAAAGCTGTTCCGAAGCGGGGGGGGGGGCGGGGAACACCTTCTGAAGGCTGGCGGGGGCGAAAGTCTTTGTCCCCCCTGCCTGCCTTCCCAGGGGCTTTTAAATCGCCCCGGAAAGCGGAGAAGTCCTCCGCTGTCCGGGGCGATTTTAAAATGCCGCCCGCCAGCATTTTAAGATCGCCCCGGACAGCGGAGAAGTCCTCCGCTGTCCCAGGGTTTTTTAAAATGCTGGGGGTGGGAAGAAAAGCCCTTGTTCCCCCCCCCCCCAGCCTTCAGAAGAGGTCGCCCCCGGACCTGGTCTGAAGGCGGTTTCCCTAGGAACGCATTAATTGATTTTCAATGCATTCCTATGGGAAACCGTGCATCGCAAGACGAAAAAACCGCAAGACGAAGAGACTTGCGGAACGAATTAATTTCGTCTTGCGAGGCACCACTGTATGTCCTATAAAACAGCATGGTTTTTTTTAAAAAAATTGTCACATGATGGTATATTTATGGAGCATTCTATTCCTACCTACCCTTCAGTGGTTGCATTCCAAAAGCCAATGGCATGATGGTATGTTTTTGCCCAGGCTGCCATGATATATGTGCAGAAATTAAAAATGAAAGTAGTTTATGAACTTAACTTGCAATTTTTAAACTTACAGCTACTTAGAAACCTTTATAAATCCTATTGGAATATAGACAAGAAATTGTGAGATTCAGTGTGGTTTTTCTAGTGTATTTCAATTTTAATCAGGAAAACTTCATTTCTCCATTCCTGTACCTTTCTGTAGTGTAAACATTGGGTGATATCCACTCTGTCCATTAGGAATGAGGAGGATAGAGAGGGAATACATTCTCTCTTTACTTTCTCTGCTACACTATTCATATTTATTAAAGTTTTCTCATGCTTTGTCCCCTTCCCTACCTTTTTTTCTAAATAAAAAGCCCCAGTTCCTTAAGTCTGTGTTGTTCCCTGGCAATTAAATATGCCTTGGAACTCCAATGCTGGGTATTATGTTTGTGTGTTTAAAAAACCACTTTATTTTTAAAGAAGCTTATTTTATTTTCATCAGTTCATTTAACATGCTTGCCATATGTCTTAAATATACATAATTTTAGCCAACTAGTTGCCTTTCTTCTTCATATTTGCAATTCTTTTAATAAGCAGTGCCATGCTGTATTATCCTAAATTAGCTGCTGTGTCATAAAAACAGTTTCACATTATGATAGCTCAATTGTAGTTAGTTAGTTCTTCTTGAACAAATGTAGCTTTCCAGACTTGTCCCTCAAATTGCCTTCTGATGCAGTTAGATACGTAAAACATTAAGATTTGTAAAATGCTTTGTGGCATGAATATTTTTCTACTCACTTGCAAAACCGTTGTAAATGTGTACACGCAGATTGTATCTAAATGTTGTGCGTCATGGTTTTTTCTGTGAAATTAAAGGTTAGACTAAAGATGCTTGCAGTTTTCATATCCACATAATAGGAATGTTTAGCTTGTGGCTAAAATAACCAGGGTCTTTGCTTCGCCAGGAGAGAGAACTTGAAGCCAACAAGAAAGAAAAGGTGAAAGAAGCTCAACTTGAAGCTGAAGTGAAGCTACTTCGGAAGGAAAATGAGGCACTTCGTCGACACATAGCTGTGCTCCAGGCTGAAGTATATGGGGCAAGACTCGCAGCCAAATATTTAGATAAAGAGCTAGCTGGAAGGTGTGTAAAAATTCAGTAGCTTGCGATGGACATTTGGGACAGAATTGTTGTTTAGGATCTCAGGGCACATGCCTGATCTCAGGGTACTTGTGTGGACCATATGGGGGATGTGGAAGAGTAGAATATAAGAGCTTATCAGGATAGTGCTGAACTGCTATAAAAACTATCTGTAGTGGGAGAAGATAAGGACCGGGATTCACAAGGTCGGACTTGGGTTGCTTCCAAACATGGGCAATTTAGCATTCTGCAATCATTCTAGTTCTGCTTCAAGCTGGAAGTGGAATAGCAATTCCGCTTCCCAGATTCTAACTTTATGTAGTAAAGTGGACAATTCCCCTTTCCTGAGCTTGAAACATTGGAAGGGGGTTATTTTCATTGGGACCTGCGTGTGTGGTTTAAATACTCCCTCCTCACTGCACTCCTGATCATGAATACAGGGGGAAGGGGGAAGAAACAGATACAGAGACAGTGCTATCTGAACCAAGGTTTTAAGTGATTGACTTGATTCTTGGAGAAGAAAAATGGATCATGTAGAAGGAAGAGCAGTTTACCTGGCCAGAGTGGCAGGTAGACCATCTATACCTGGGAAAATTGCACAGCTCAGCCATAGAGGGATTTTTTAGCTCTGGAAAAAGTCTGCAGCTGAACAGGTAAAATGTGAGGGATATGTTTTACTCATGACATTATGCAAATACTCCTTAAAAAATGAGTGAACAAAGCATGTCTATTCCGCAGTAAATGCCAAATGTGGAAGCAGCCTTAAGCTAGGCTATGGAAGGGTATGGTACGGCACCCTCCCCACTTTCTTTCCCTATTATTGCAGTGACTGTAAGCCATTTGATTATCTCTTTATTGGACTTGAGAACATGGCACTGGGAGAGCAAATCAAAGAGTAGTTTGAACCTCTCACTTCATACATATCATGCTCTTTTCTCATTATGTAGGGTTCAGCAAATTCAGTTACTAGGCAGAGATATGAAAGGACCTGCTCATGATAAACTCTGGAACCAGCTGGAAGCTGAAATCCATCTGCACCGGCATAAAACTGTGATCAGGGCATGTCGTGGTCGTAATGATCTAAAGCGACCCATGCAAGTACCCCCAGGACATGTAAGCTTCTTGTTTTCAACATTTGTCAATATAATGTTTGTACCTTTAAATGTATGTCGACATTGGATATATTAATATATCTGTTGTCATTCAAAACTGAAATTCTTCTTATGGCTCAGATCAATGGGGTAGAAAAAGGAATTCCATTTTTTGTAGATTAAATTACAACACTATTTTATCACAGTGCATGTAAAGACTGCATTTTTCCTTTTTTTTACTAACTCACCTCAATAGTCAAGGGGAAGAAATGTTGAAATTGTACATACAGTCGTACCTTGGTTGTTGAACACCCTGGACTCAAGATGTTTTGGCTCCCGAATGCCGCAAATCCAGAAGTGATTATTGCGGTTTGCAAACGTTCTTTTGGAACCTGAACGTCCATTGGGGCTTCTGCAGCTTCAGAACCTGCGATTTGGTTTTCAAATATTTTGGAAATCGAACGGATTTCTGGAAAGGATCCCATTTGACTTCCAAAGTACAACTGCATATGAAACTTAAGGAATAATTATGATATTCTGTATTGCGATTTGGAATAAGTGAATCCTAGTTAGTGACACAGGCTGCAGTCATTACTTTACTTACCTAACTCGGAGTAATCCTTCTTGAAGTCAGTAGGACTTATCTCTGAGTAAACACAGTTAAGATTGTGCTGTAAATAAAAAAAGGTATTCAATATTGAAAGGGTTCACAGCATTTACATCCACATCACCCTTAATTTATAGATGTGAGAATCTTATTAGGCATTTTGCTTTTTAAATTCTGGAGCTCAGGATAGTCCATTTGATCTTTGCAATAACCCTGTAAGTAGGCTGGGCTGATATTTAGTGTCTGGAATATAATAAGCATGTGAGCTTCATGACTGAGTGGTGATTTGAACTTTGGTCCTTCCTGTCCCAGCCTATCCTCTGCACTGCATACTGAGTCTCCCAAGCTCTTGAACATACAACCTGTTCAGAGGGTGAAGCACATGGGGTTTATAGTGCTGGCACAAAGGAATGCATTCCTTTTTTGTTTACAACCTTTCAGGCCCTAAACTGGGCCCCCAAAACAAGCTTAAAAACTTTCAGTTAAAAAACACTTGTGGTGCTGGAAGTTATAAGGCCTGTTGCTCTGGTACTGTGGAAAGGGGAAGTGAGGGTGGTGGGATTTCTTCCAGCCTCTTATACCCCATCAACTTCTGGAACATCTCTGTGACTTCCAGAACTGTAACAAGGGTTTTCTCTAACTGCTTTTTAGTGCCCAAAATTTGTTTAATTCTGCTTATCTTTAAGCCAATGTAGGAAAAACCTTTGCTTGTGCCACATCAACTCAGATCTTGGATAGGGCTGAGGTGCATGTGTTTTCCTTTCTAAAGTAATCTTTAGAAAGGTGATTTTCTTATAGCAGCAATGTCTATAGCATTCTGAATTTAGATATTATTTTGTCTATAGTGATAGTAGTGTCCTGTGAATCTCTGGAAAACTTTGAAAAAGCATTTTCATAGCTGTTTAATTTTTTTTAAAACTAGGATCCAGATTCCTTAAAGAAGAGTCAAGGTGTTGGTCCCATAAGGAAAGTTCTGTTGGTTAAAGAAGATCACGAAGGACTGGGCATTTCAATTACCGTAATATTTGAATTTATTTTCTTTTTCTTTTACTAACAAGATACTTAACATTTAATTTATATTTCCTGTGTGTCACACTGGCCCATGTTACCTATATAAAATGCTTGCTTTTGTAACACTCTTATAAATGCCACTGAAAGAACTTAAATTTTTCATTATGCTTTTATGAAATCTCTGCTACAAATGCATTATAAACTGTGCTATACATCAAATACGCAGAGCAGCAAATACTTATTTGTTGAAGAGCAGCATGAATTCAACACTTTTGAAATCTACAGTGAAGAACATACACAGTGTTAGGCTATAAATCATTTTGAAATTGTGGCAATCTCCTGATTTGTGTTATGTCATTGTGATAGGGTGGAAAGGAGCATGGTGTTCCCATCCTCATCTCTGAAATTCACCCAGGTCAGCCTGCTGATCGATGTGGAGGTCTGCATGTTGGAGATGCCATTTTGGCAGTAAATGGTGTTAATTTGAGAGATGCCAAACATAAAGAAGCTGTAACCATTCTTTCGCAGCAGGTATTTTATATTTATATCATGAATACTGAACTGTTAATATGCATATATACATTTGGTGGGGTTTGGCCAATAATTTGGGGCAGGGCCTCCTGACATTTCTCCATTTCAGCTCTATGACTAAGGATTGTGTGTGTCTGAACACAAGCACTAAGAGGAAGGGTTTATTAATTACTGGGCAGCATACAGATGCTCAGTAGTGGAGCCACATACTTTGCATGCAAAGGACAGAAGGTCCTAGGTTCAGTCCTTGGCATCTCCAGACAAGGTTCGGAAAGATTCCTTCTCTGAAACCCTGGAGAGCCCCTGCCATTCAGTGTAGTCAAGGCTGCGCTAGGTGGACCAGTAGTTTGACTTGGTATAAGGCAGCTTCCTATGTTTGCAAGATAGGGCCTGGGGCAGATTTAGGGGAGCATGACCGGTTCGGTTGTACTGGGTGCTGCAGGGGATGCCACAACTAAGATTTAGAATGGAACATGAGAAGGGGCATGGGGAGCACCAAATTTTGGCGTCACACAGGGCACCACTTAAATTTGACACCCGAGGTCCACCACTGGTAGGGCAAACATTCTGTGTGAAGCTTTCTTCTGCAATTACTGAAAGTGCAAGTTTCACTAGATGAATGTTTTGGAGGCTCTTAAAATTGTCTGTATTGCCATTTTCAAAAAACAAACAAACCCAGTTTCCATACATGTAAGTCACATCCAGATTTAAACTAAAATTGAGCAGTAGTCCATTCATTTTGGGCCTTGCTTCAGAGTGTCCAGAAAGTCCTCCCAAACGTTCTTATTTCAGCAAGGATTATCTGGATGAATATACTCTGCAGGCATGTATTGCAAGACTTGATCTGGCTTTTCTTTTATATTAGGAATATTTTTTTCACTATTCTGTTGTATAGTTCTATTCTACACTTTGTATAGTTCTGAGTTTTCATATTTTAAGTGTTCTGAATGGATTGCCCATTCTTAGAAGCAACATAATCTTCATTTCTGTATTCTAGAGAGGGGAAATTGAGTTTGAAGTTGTGTACGTTGCTCCAGAAGTGGACTCAGATGATGAAAATGTAGAATATGAGGATGAGAGTGGACATCGTTATCGTCTGTATCTTGACGAATTGGAGGAAGGTGGAAACTCTGCTTCTAATAGAAAATCTGGATGTGGAGATGTCAAACAATTGCAAGGTAAATGTTCTGGGGTGTGTTTTTTTTTAATAACTAAGGTACAACATTTCAAGTAAAACTTGATTTTGTAAATTTAGATTCAATTGTTTGGATATGCTTAGGATGATCTGTCCTTAGATTGGGATGACAGTTATGCAGTTGTGTCACAAAATGCAAGGTTAAACTATATATGTTCTTGGCAAATATAATGGTTGGGCAGGATGGCAGCTCATCGTTTTCCTTTGCTATTTTTGTCAGAATATTGCCATATTTTCCTATATTCCCATAAAGCAGACTCTTTATTTGAAATTGTAGGTATATTCTTCCTTTCCTCTTTCTTGGTGACTATTTTTGTGATGTGATTTAAAGATTTCATATGGTCAAAGATTAATGCAGCACAGTTTTCAAAATCTGGATTTGCCAAATCCCTACCCATAACTTGGGGGTGCCTCTGCATTGTGTAGGCACTTCCTTGTTTTGCTGGTTACTGGAATTTTCTGTTTTGTGTGGTGTTTCTGTACTAGTTGGAAGGTCTTGTTAGAGGGGAAGTGGAGGGCCATATTAATTCCTAACCCTCTGCAAGAGCACATGTAGATGGGGAAAAGGTGGTTTGGCCTGCAGTAGTTCCTATTCTTCTTAACTTGTTTTATATACAGTCCATTTCTAGAAGTCTTGGAATTTCTGCCTTCCTGTGCAGCATTGGTGCATGTTTTCTCCTTATCAGCAAAAATTGTTGGGTGGGTCAGTTTGTAAACTTTAGGATGCTGTACTATAAAATGTTACAAACATTCTTTTCTCTCTTTTGCAGTGTTTGATAAGAAAGCAAGTATTGATGGCCATGAAAATGGAGACCTAGGAAATTCAGTTGAAACAGAAGAGACTATATCTAAACTAGACCAATCTGCTGAAAGCTTAGCCTAAAACCACCCCTAACTCATCAGTGGGACTGGTCTCTTCCTCAAGACAGGTTGTGTAGACCGTTCTGCATTCAAAATTCCACATAAAATGATAAAGGACGATTAAAGGGATAAAGAGAAGCTGTGTTGCTGTTGCCTGGAAAAAAGCTGTTCTGTTGGTTACCTCAGGGCTTCATTATGAGCGTATCTAAATGTGTAAAATTTCCCATTTTTCTAAGAAGTTGCATGTCAGATGAATTTCCCTTGAATTATAAGCACCAAAGCATGTTGTTTCCAAAGGCTTTTCTTGAATTTAACTTTGGATCTTGTTTATGATAAAAGGGATAGACTAAAGCAAAAGAACTTTGATACTTGGATCCTCTGACTAATAGCAGAAGCAGAAAATTGGCATTCATTGATAGAGAAGTAGATTTTAATGACCATATATAAGGGAGACATGATTTCTCAGAGGTATATTCCTGACCTACCTAGTTGCTTTTAAAATGTGTATTGTAAAAAGGTAAACAGCAAAGTCAATTCATTTCAGATTTTCACAATATACAAAAATAAGTTTGGTTTAAAACATACACATACAAAACATTTTAGCTGCTAAATATTTATTGTGACGTTAAATCTCTGAAATAGATCTTAGTTATCTGTTCCTGAGATGTTTTTCAGCATTATTTAATGCAGCATATATATATAAATATATTCCTTTAAACTCTCTTGCCAATCAATGCTGGATGTGAAGTATTCTCCAAAGGTATTAAACAGAATACTGTTAATTTTAAAATGCAAAATAAGTGTAAAATTGGCCTTTTGGAATTATGTCTGTCCTTAAGTGTAGCATGCTCAACTTACAGAATTGTATCATTGGGTGGCTACCATTCTATGTGAACTGAATTAGGATGGAGTTAGATGACCATTCTTTCCACTGCATAGTATGTTTTACAGTTGCCACACAGTGCCATCTACGTGACCCTGGGCTGTCTAAAGGAGCTCTGTGCCCTACAGGCTAACAGTACTGTTACACTTTTGACAATGTGGCTCATCCACAGAATGGGAGTACATCATGCCTTAGATCCTTTAACAACCTATTTTCATATATATCCCGTCCACATGGATAACTGTAAAGGTTGCTGTGCATTGGAATGAAAATGTGCCTCTAGTGCAGTCCAAAAAGTTTACAAAACATTCTCTGTAGGCATGGTTTTATACGAGAGTTGCTAAGAGGGGCGATTCAAATTTTTGATTTAAATCCTTTGCTATAGGAACTGATTCACTTGACACTCATAAGATGGGAGGGTGGTGTTGGATACATAATAAATCATTTAATCTGTGGCTAAATAGTCATCTGATTGCTTCAGGCTGTGTCCAGAGATTGCTTCATCATACCATTTTTACATCTGTTTTTTAAAGATGTATTGCAGTGTTGTAAGGCAACATGAAAGCGATTGCCCAGTTTCCTGTCATGTGTTTAAAAGTCTGTAGATCACCAGAACTCCATGTGATTAGATCCCTTGTGGAAGGTGTTCTCCAGTTATGATCGTGTCATAGCGATTGTTGTTTCCATCCATAAATGCAGTGCTTGCCATGTCATTGGTTACCCACGCTGTGCTACATTGAGAGATTTGGATCAGCTGGCCCTTAGCAAGTGGGAATTGAGTGCATCCTGTATCTTGCCAGGTGATACTTAAGACTGTGCAGGATCACGTACCAAATTTGTTACAGTATAATAGTCCTAGTATTTTACAGAACTACGGTATATTTTTTTAAACCCCAAATGTGCAAAATAGTTTTACACCTGAATGCCAAAGGCATTTTTAGAATCCATTGGGGGGTTGTCTTGGCTAGGTTGCTGTTCAGTTATGTGTATGTGTGTATGTATATATATATATATGTATGTATGTATCTATATCTTATTAGAGCGCACACTCTCCATATGCAAACAGTTAAAAACCATGTAATAGCTTTTATTATAATAGGATAAAGCATGAAACGCCTGCTTTCCATTCATTGTTCTGCGGGCCATTAAAATGTAACATGTAAAGATGTATTTTGAGAGTGCAAATAATGTAAAATGACAGCTTTGTAAGTGTTTTTATAGAATGTACATAAATTGAGAGCGAGTGAAAGGCATTTAGTGTAATGTCAGTTAACCTAATGTTTAATGTTAAAAAACCATTGTGTTGTAGAACACAGTTAAACTTGTCTCTCCTAGGTGCACTATATATATACATATGTTTATAGAGAAATCTTTAAAATGTAAATACTTTATGCAAAGATTTTGCTATTTATAAATTCTTTAACTGTTGCTCATAAAATAATTTTTGTGTGTCATTTTGCTCATGGAACTGTATTTGATTTGCAGTAAAATTTTATAGCTGCTCCTTTAATACTGTATATTAAAGTAATCTTAACCATGATACTGCCTCCATTGCAAGCCTAGTATTTTAAGCAAGCCATGAAATTGGAAAGGCTGCATTTTCTGCTGTTCATGGATGTGCCTTTGCCCTGCCATATGAGGCTGTTAAGCAGCACATGATGTTTTCTGGTGTATATTACAAAAACATTCCCTGTGTATTGCTTTTCATTAGGGAATCTAAAGGGGAGCAAAATGGAGAGTTGACATAGGAGCACAGTGTTCCTACACAAGCCTGTTTGTGTCAGTAGGACATGTGCGAAAGAAATTACCTGGTATCCCCCTTTTTTAGAATGAACTCTCTTCAATGTTTGCTCCATTTTGCACTATTTCTGAGCATGTTGAATCTTAGTCTATCAAAAGATCTTTCCTATATCCCTTGTTAACAGTAATCCCGGGATTATCTGTGAGAGAATGTTACTTTCCACTCTCAAGCGAAGAAGCATGTTCTCCGCTTGATATACTTTTGTTCTGTCTGAAGTGACAAAAATGCAGACAACCTTTCTCTGTTGCATTTGCACAACTTCACTATTTATTAAAATCAGGCTATTGTTGAACACTGTTTGCTGGTACTGCTTTGTTCTCCTTGTGATGGTATCACTGCACACAAGTCAGTGAACGGTTGTAAACGGCACTGATAAATAACTACACAGAAATTCCCTCGGACACTTCCCATCATTATTTTGTCTAGGCACACTTTGGAAAAACCCAGACCTCTGAAATTTTGCTCTGATGCTATTGTGAATTAGTGTTATTGTGTGACTGCTGGGCAACTCTGGAATTCTCCCCCCCCCCCACCCTTAATAATTGTCTGAGCTTCTGGGCCTCTTATTTTTCTGGGCCATATAGTCTTGAGGAAAAAGAACTTCATCCGTTGGGGTGAATTCCTTTTCATTTTAAAAAGGAATTCACCCCAAAGGATGAAGTTATTTTTCACTGGAGAAAATGAATTCCAAAAGGCACTTTAAAAATCCTGTGAAGGAGCATTTTTAATCTTTATTTTCAACAAGTAAACACACATTTATTTAAACAAATGCAGTGAAACATGTGCTTTAATAGTAAACTATTGCAATTTAAAGAAACTTGGCTTTTAAATTTTTTACAAATGTCCAGAGCTGCAAAAGAATTGTTTTACAAAATCCTGTTCAGCACCAAATCTATGGAACAGGCTGTCTGCCTCTAGTTGAAAGGAAGTGGACAATGGCAAGCCACGGACTACAATAGGCTGCACTGATTTTTCCATAGGAATTGCTCTCTGGTAAGTAGACTGCAGCCTAAGTTGGTTAGTTTTAAAGGTGCTAACAAGGGACCCACATACATTTGCAGCCCCATGGGAAATAATAATTCCCTTTCCATGACTTCTACATCTCACCCCGCCCCCCGAATGTGGAATTAGGTGGAGGGGTATTAAGTGCCCTAAGGCCTGGGAGACCAAGAATGGGATTCAGTGCAACACTCTTCCATTCATCTATTTGTGCAAACATTCCAGTTTTCCAGAGGCAAAGACATTCCCCATGTACTGTTCTGGGGGCGTTGCTAGACCCTCACTGCCAAATTTGGGGGAGGGTGGGGAAGCCTTATGCAAATGGAAATCCTTGTGCTGGGCTTTGCTGACACGGCTGGTGATGTGACTCCTACCCCAGAATTAAATTTGCCATAAAACTCCTGGTGAGACCTGGGGCCAATCATTGTTGCTTAGATTTGCGTACCTCACAACATGGTTGTGAGGATAACCTGGGGAAATGAAGAGCTTTGAGCTGCTTGTAATAAAAGGGGGAATTTAATAGAGCAGATCTTCAGCCTCATGAGGCCCTTAAAGTAACAGGTCTAATTAAGCCACAGACATTAAGCAGCAAACAAAACCTGTTTGAAGGAAGAGCAAAATATATCTAGCATGTTGGTTTTGGTTTTTAACCTTTTCCCATTTCTCATGTAGCTTTGAATTCCAGGAAATTCAAAGCCTGTGTCTATATTTAAAAAATGTCAGAAGGTGGCAGCAAATGCTTCAGATTTCCTTCTCGGAAAAACGCTATGACAAAGTGTGTTAAGTCCTTGAGTGGGATCCAAAGTACTTCTCAGTCTTAGCTTCTCACAGTGCTTATGTAAAATATTTTCAACCTGCCTTTCATCACAAGCGGTCCAGGGCATGGTATGCTAATGCAATTTGAATAGAACATCCATCATAATATAAAACAAGAACAGATAAGGCACATAACTACAGCAACCCATTAAAATTACCTGGTAACGACAGCTAGCATCCTACAAAAGCCTGAGTGGGTGGGGGGGAAGCACCGTGTTCTCAGCTGGCCCTGAAAGACAAAAAGAGAAGGTGCCAATCAGAGTTCAGAGGGGAGAGCATTCCATAAGGAGGGGGCCAGTCCAGAGAAGTCCGTCTCTGAAGTCACCGCAGAATAGATATCACTTGGCAGCAGGATGCCAAGCAGGGCCTCCCAGCCAGATTTTAACATACGAACAACACAAACCCCTGTGTTGCAAAATGTAACAATCTACAAAAATGCAAATGCATATATAATTGGTTATGATGTCATTCATAACTGATGCAACATGAGGGTCCAAAAACCAGAAGTGAGCATTAGGAGAAGTCTCCATTTGCCGGTGGAAGTACTTGAGGCGCGCGCGCACACACACACACACACACGACTCTGGCTGCGTATGTACCATACACTTAAAAGCATATGGCTCCCCACAGACACATCCCTGGGAGCTGTAGTTTGTTACGGGTGCTGGAAACAGTAGTTCTTTGAGGGGGGAACACAGCTCCTAGAATTCTTTCAGACCTCTTTTAAAAACCTTACTGGTCAGATAGGTCACTGAAATGTGCATTTTGTTGCCAACAAGTTTTTCTTATGTTCTTACACCTTTAAGTGATTACAGTAGCATTGTGTTTTGATGTCGTGTACCGTCCTGCTGTATTGTCTGTGGAAGTGGGGTATCCAGTACAAACATTGGCTGCTGCATCTACTTCCTTTGTTATCCAAGGCTAGAGATTGCTTTGGAAGCATACGTAGCTGTGTCTGGTTCTGGGATATATCAAAACAGGCGTGAGACAATCCTATCTGCTTTCCTGTGACCTCATTTGGGCTTCAAAATAAGCTATGGAAGGCAAGTGGTTCAATAACCACTGTAATGCTGATTGAAAAGAGTTTTTGTTGTTGTTGCTTGCTGGGCTTTGGTGTGGAGGAAGGGTTTTGAGTACAATAAATACCACAGCTTCGTGACTGACTGTTTGTCCCACTGAAGTAAGAGCTGCACTGCCATAAATCAAAATTATTCAGTCTATCTAGGTTGTAACTTTAGGTTGAAATAGTTATTTACTATTCTTTGTCATACTGCAATGAATGTAATAGTGACAGATTTATAAAACTTTCAATGTTATTTGCAATATGTGATGGATTTAGCACTACTGTGCATAAATCTCCGTATCTTTCTGAATGGCCAGATAGGAGACTTGAGTATTAAGCAGAATAATTGTCTACAATAAAATGAAAATTATCAAGTTTTCATTTCTGTACTTCCTGGTTCTCAACTCAGTATGACATTTACATGTGCACTACATTGAGTTTACAGTATTTCTTCTTGTTGGCCAATTCACACTTCACAAAACTGACAATGAGAACAGATGGTGTCACTTAAGGATAAACAGCTTAGCCATAAATGAGAAAAGCTGACTTAAAGAAGATCTGCTTACGATATTTGCTGGTGTCTTCTTTCTTACATTTCTGCTATCAGCAGGAATGGAGAGCACAAACATTTGTTCATAACCTTCACGCGTCTCATAGTAATTGTGTGGGCAAAATATCAATTGATTTCATCTAACAAAATGTATAGACTTAATAGAAAATGACAAATCCCTAATTGGTTTACATAAAATGGTGCACAATATTTATCAAAAAAGACCAATAAAACCAACAGCAATCTAAAACAAGGAGATATACACAATCTCTCTAATATGTTGCCTGATTCTACACAGCTATCACTTATTGTGGCATCTGAAAAATGACTCTCACTGTCTAAAGAATCGTAATTCAGAAATCATTTCTGAGTTTCTTGAAATGTTCCTGGACTGCACTAGTATCTCCACTAACTGGTCTTTGATGCAATCCTGTTTGTGGGTTGATAGGGTTTAGGGTGTACGTAGTTTTGACACTGTAAGGTTTTGCATGGAGTTTTACAGTTCTAGGACAGTTCATCTGAAAGTCTGCCTGATGTGGTGTGATGTTGCTGCCCACCCACACAATACCTTATTTCCCTTTTTTTAAAAAAACAAACAAACCAGGGAGCTTGAATATTGCACGTCTTTCAAGCACACACCATTTCTCTGAAGACAAAGGGTTGTCACTTTTGAAAGCTGCTGCAGGCTTATGAATCTTGGCTCTTGGGAAGACAGTTCCCAAACTCAGAGGAAACCAATCTGGGAAACTGTTGGCGAAGAGAGCACACACTAGTCAGCCAGACCCCTGATATGATCCTGTTGCCTCCTACGTTGCTTGCGAGCACAGATAATGTGCTAGAGAGCAATTGCTTTTATAAAGATGCAGTGCATTCTGCAGTTAGTGAGCAGTTGAGAGATATGAATATATAATTCCTCTGTGAAAGAGCCGGCAGGCATGAGATACACTGCAGCTTCTGTATGTGGTGTTGTCCTGCAGATCTTGTTTCAAGTTAGAAAACACAAGCTTTAGCAGGATAGGAAAATGAGTGGTGTCTAAACTATTCTAAACTATAAAACAGTAGATGACAGGGCTGCATCCAGAACTTTGGCATCTCCACACCACCCCATTACAACTCATAAACATTTCTTTTCTTGTCCTTGCAGAGCTTGCAAGCAAATGTGCATGACTTGGCCTTGTAGAGCCTTCAGGAGTTGTGGGTAGCTATCATTGGTTTTCAACTGAGAGGCCTGTTTGGTGGTAGTGGCAGGTCCATTTGGGCAAATGGGCACTGCGCCACCAGCCTTGCCTGCCTTCATACTTGCAACCAGTTACCCTTGTTGATCTCAGCAGGGAGGAGGGTGGAAGCTATGGTAAAGTGTAGCACTGCCCTTTATAGGTTCCTTTTCAGAGTACAGCTGCATTTTGCTGAGACCTGTCCATAAAAACTGGAATGTGAACATCAGGTCGTTACATTTAGATCAATAAAGAAACTCTCTGCAGTTAATTATGTTTGGTCATTACTGCCCTGGATCGGATTCCACCCCAAGACTGAGGGGAAAGCGATGTGTGCTATTATACTCCCAAATGCCTCGTTGCTACATGAACTCTCAAGTGTGAGTCAAACACCAACACACTTTAAGACCAGATAATATTGTAAGCTCCTCTTAAACACTTGACATAGTGGTAGATTAATTAAAAATCAAAAACAAGGATGAGCAAATCTGGATGAATATAAATAATAATTGTTATGTGTTTGTGAGGTGTAGTCCAGTCTTCTAGATGTCCTTCAAATAACGTTTGTGTGGCCTGAGCTTTCTGGTGGAAACCAGAGACATACAGAATTCATTTAAGAGGAAAGAAAACTGCTATCGTTCCCTATTTGCAAAACAATGGAGCAATGCATTAAATGAGTGAAGATTTAGAAATACTTAGAAGTATTTGGTGGTGGTGTTTAAAATCAAAGCTTTTTACAAACTCCTGGGTTTTGATAATGATAACATTCCTGAGTCTCTGTCAGGGAAGAACGCAGGGGATGGATAAATATATACGGATACTAATACGAATAACTCCACACATGGTTAGGAGTCTCACCACAACCTCTAATGCCTGCTCTCAGCCAAGGTGTTTTGGCTGCAGTCTTCTCTTATATTCCTCCCTGGCTTTGCTTTGACTAGGACACTGCCAAGGCCAGCTGTACCAGACACCCTGCTATTGCAATACCAGGATTTGCACTCAGTAGAAGGAGTCGTCTTATCAAGAGAGCTGAGCCTTGGCATTACGTTTTATTTGAAAGCCTGGCTCCCAGAAAACACACGGTTCCTAGACTGCACAGGAAGGAAGGCAGGGGCCACAATGTATATGAAAAAGCAAATGCTTTCCATGTATACAAGGTTCTAGATTCAATCCTTGACCTATCCAGTTAGGGGACTGCTTCACCCTTGCAGAGTATTTCTTCTAGCTGAGAAGTGTACTGCTGTAGGGGAAGAAAAATATGCAAGAGGGATAGGAATTTCAGGTAGGTAGCCGTGTTGGTCTGCCGTAGTCGAAACAAAATGAAAAAAAATCCTTCCAGTAGCACCTTAGAGACCAACTACGTTTGTTATGGGTATGAGCTTTCGTGTGTGCATGCACATGAAAGCTCATACCAATTAACAAACTTAGTTGGTCTCTAAGGTGCTACTGGAAGGAATTTTTTAATATTTTGTTAGGAATACCCTAATGTGTGAAGATTATGCAAATCAGCTGTACACTTGGCAGGGTGCATCTTTGTAGGAAAGATACGCATGAACTGGTCCCTAGATAATCTTGGACAACAGAGCTAGGAAAGACAGGAAGGGGTCAGGTCAGGGGTGGGGGAACCTGAGTGCTACCTGTTGTCCTAAGCAACCTTCCATGGGTCGCATACCAGTGGTGGGCAGGGCCAGAGGAAAAAGGGGGAGAGGCAGCAGATGGAACTCTTAATTTTGTCCAGTTGGCTACACACATCTCTCCATCCCCCATCTAAGTAAGAATGAAGCATCATCAGAGCTGAAGGACTCATTCCAGCCAGGCGAAAGCACGGGAAAAGGGCACAGAGCAAGGTAGGTGGCTTGGGGAGTAGGTGGTGGCCTGGGGAAAGTTGTAAGAACCAGATGGGGAAGTCGTATAACAAGCAGAGATCCTTACATCTATTCCAGTTCATCTTTCCTGCCCCCCCTTTAAAGAAACCCTTAAGACAAAGTCACAAAAAACATTTTTTAACACAAAGCTGCCACAAGGAGCTTGTGAACAATGAATTTGAAATATCTAAGCATCTGCAAATAAACTAGCAAAAATTATTTCCAAATGCAACTTGCAGAGCCCATTTTTAATGAGATGGCAGACCTGAAGCAAACTACTACTGCTAGGCTTGGGTTGTGCTACTATAATATCCACATTATTCAGTGGTGCTTACTGCAGAGTGGGCAGTATATGTACTGATTCTTCAGAAGATGCTATTATGAAACTAGAGGTGAGTTTGAAAAATGACTTCTAGAAACCTACTGGTTGCCTGATCTCAACTATGCTGTTTTTGTATTAGCAATTTATGGTGGAGAAGAGGTGCATATTTAGGGCCATGGCAGAGACTCAGCTCTGTATTCTAGTCCTGGTATTTTCCCTTGTCCTAATCTGGGGCTAAAGAATGGACCATTTACAGGCACCGTTAAATCCATGAAACAGAAGAGCCCACTATTTCTCAGTGGCAATTGTCTAGCATCACTTCTCATCACAATACCATGCACCATCCCTCATTTTTTCAAAACTTATTTTGCCCAGAACAAGTACAGATTTATCCACACAGTTAAAACTGTTCAAAGCAGGGGGTTCTGCAGCATAGGATATGACCCGAGGAAATTAGCTTTTAAATTTAATTAGCTCCCACTTCTGTGTAACATGTCAGAACTAGTTAGCACAACTACCAACAGGAAAACAACCTCAGACGCCGTGCTTTGTTTTGTTAGGACACTGTCCTACCTTGTCTAGAAATCAGTGCAGTGACCAGTTCTTCTCACTGAGAGCCCCCAGCCCACACAGGACAAAACAGATTAAAGTTTAAGTTATTTTTATTAAATTAAAAATGTATGTACACATTGCACAATGTTAGAGTGGAGCACCAATATCGCAGCTGCAGAGAATCGACTGCCTGAAGACTCTACTGCAAAGGCAGCAACGAACAGCTTTCACTCCTCAGCCAAGAGCAAATTTTGTTTTGCTCTAAATCTAATCCAGTGCTTTAAACATTATGGCAGTGAGTTTCCGCTGGTCCTTAAGGTTACAGAAGAGCTGTCATTGCAGTCTGATTTACTGGTTTTAGGCAGTATCTGGGTGTCGAATAGCCCTCATCTTTCAATAAACTGGTCTGGGGCTTCTGATAGCCAGTATTGTAGTCAAGTGTGGGCAAGGCTTTCATTTTTGGCTTGTCATACTCCTTCTGACTTTGCGGTGTTTGATAATCTTCACTCCCCGTTTCAGTCTGGCACAAGGCAGTGAAAGTGCCTGTGGAAAGGGAACATTTATGCACAGCAGAAGCAGTAGGAATGTTATAGCAGCTCTCTGAATGAAAAGCGTTTTCTCTTCCTACGTGTCGCTCTATAATAGGAGTGGCGTATTCAGGCTCGTGGTTGGTCAAAGGCAGTGCATAATCGTGGCGATTTGCTCTCTGTGGGCAGTGGTAATGGTTCCCGGTCTCGGCGCTTCCTTTTTTCTCATTCTCTGTGTCCATGGGTCTGAAAGTGGATCCCTTTCGGGTTACTGTCCCAGTTCCTATCATGAGAGGCTGTTGATAATCTAGATGGGAAACAGAAAGAATCACATCAGAATCTCAGATCACACCAAATACTGGATGCCACCTTCATTTGTGCTGAGCAATCTGCTATATTATTTGCCTTCTCCCAGAAAGAAATTGTTTTTGTGCCTATAGGAGACAGCTATTTTTTTCTGTTATCCCTGAGTCATCTGACCAAGTTACATTATTTCCCAACTGCAGCAAAGAAAATTCAAGCAAGTACTGAATAACCATTGCTAGGAATAATAGATAGTCAGGCAAAATCCTCATGTCCAGCTTGCAGGCTTTGCAAAGGCATCTGATTGGCCACTGTGAGGATGGGATGCTGGGCTAGAGGGGCCTGACTGAGAAATCTCTTCTTAACGTTTTTGATATCGCACATGGGTAACCTGATGAGGAAGAATGTTGGAATGCCAAAGCCATTACTCTGCAGGTATCTGGAAGAAGAATGCCAACAGTTTTATGTGAACACAGTGGTAGCGCAATAATAGAAATATGATAAATAAATTTAAAAATGGTACAAGTTCTATTCTGCCAATCCTTATGGATGGGCAAACTAAGCCTGTTTTTTATGTTTCTTACGTGCTACATAGGGATTGTTTTCAGAAGACAGTGAAGTTACCTGCCATCTCTCTTGTGACGAGATCTAGCTTTTGTGGCGTATCCTTTTCATTATTATAACTGATGGTGAATTCAGTAGACTGGTGTCTGACAAAGGGTTGTTTGATTTGTTTCCAGAAACCTAGAAGTTCAAGTCCTAATAATGTTAAAAATCTCAAATATGATCCAATATAAAACACTGCATGCACAAAAAAATTAAAACTGTCAGTTTGATTCAGAGTGTGTGTTGGAAAGGGTGACATGTTAAAAGAAGCTTGCATTAGCAGAGATCAGTCTATCTATACAGACCACATAGGGCTAAATCCTGACAACTATCTTCCCTTCCATCCTGCAGTTGCTTGTGTTCCTCACAAATCACCCTTGAGAGTTGGAATGAAGGGAGATATTGGGGGTGAGAGCTGCAGTGCATGTGCGTGTGTCCGTGCATGTGTGTGTGAAAAAATCAGCAGAAGCTCATCTAGTATGGTCACACAAGGGACCCTCGGATCCCAGCAATTTATCATCTGGACGTTCTCTTGGAGTCATGAACACACTTAATTTTAAATCAGCTGCTTTGCTGATCATTTTTTGATCTCCCTCCCCAACAACCCATCTCAACAGCAGTGCACTGTTGAATTTCAAAGCAAAGCTAAATTTGGACTTGCTGAGCATGTCATGGAAGCAGGCCCGCAAGGGAGAAGGGAACAAGAGTGTGATATCAAAAAACACTGATCCAAAACTTTTAATGAAAATGGTTCCACAAAACCCTTTTCCTATTAAATTATCCCCTGGTAGAGATGGGCATGGATAATGGATGCGTGATCCAAGCCATCCAGATTAAGCCACAGCGATTCCAAGGATCAGGAAGTACTAAGCACAGGAAACTGTCGCTGGCTGCCGTCAATGACTGCTCCAGTTCCACCCATCCATTACATATATTAAAAGTTCTTGTGCTATTTGTGTGTAAGATCCTTAAGGGGAATTAGTCCCACTGCACACAAAGATATTGTTACAACTACATAAACATTTCCCTTTCTCATTATTGTCAGACGATGAACAAAACCACGATTTTTACCACCCACCTGGTTTTCCGGTGTCGTATGAGCCATAAGCACCTCCTTTCTTTCCTCTCCTATAATGAAGAACAGCAACAATAGCACTTGGCTTCATTCAGTTCCATTGAGCCAGTGACTGTCAACTCCTATTGACTGTCTAGGCTAGATTTTCAGGCATTGATCTTCCCGAACTTTGCTACTAGAGGCACCGGGTGTCCCTTGGAGATGGAGACCTGCATCTTTATGCTGAACCCTCTTTTGAAAACTTAAGAAAATGCTTACAGGGTAGCTAGGCACAATGTAAGGCACTCACCATTCTGATTTGCTGAATGAATTGGGCAAGGAGGTGTGTGTGAGAGAGAGAGCGGGGGGGGGGGGGCTGACAGGTAGACAGACACATATGATAATGGACAAGGCTTCTTTCAGTTTCCATATATACCTAACTAGAAATTTCTGCCAGGTAGGGCAGAGAGACCAACCCACATAAAACAGAATGATGGCAAGAGCCAGAGTAAATTCCTTTCCCTTTGAAAATCAGACTAAATTTGTATAATGTAAATATGCATTAACAGGCATATTTTTTTCATGGGCTTGTGTTCCAAATCTTTCTAATTACTCAGTAATGCCCCTGACGGATGCCATTGGAATCTACAGACTGTGCCTAAAATTACTAGCAAATCATTTTTTTTCTGGTGGCCAACTACAAAGATCAACCATACTACAATTTCATCCTTAAGTAAGGATGTTCAGAAATGCAGGCTTAAATGGATTGCAGATTGTATTTAAGCACTTAAAGCAATGAACTACTGATCCAAAAACACCCTAATAGTGGACTGCTTTTCTTTGGGGTGCGACTACAAGACAGTCTTGTAGTTCTTCCTTGTTTTATATTTATAAAATGGTGGGAATGGACTTTGCAACTGGTTACTCGAAAGAGTGACAGCGAGAAAGAGAGAGGAAGAAAGTGCACCGCCCATGAGCCTTTTGCATAGGTCATCTCTTTCCCAATCAGAAAAGCCCTCAGGTGAGGAATGAATCATTGTGGAAATCTTTCTGCTGTTTTTCATGGAACTTCCTATGTTAGCTCGCTTGTCTATAAAAGGCTGGAAGACTCCTTCCGTGAAGAGAGCCACCCTTCCCCATTCCCTGCAATTCATGGGGACATCAGCTGGGAGAAGGAGCTCATTGGATGAGCAGGAGCACAATGAGGAGCTGGCGAGGGGACTTGAGGAAGCCCAGGCGACAGAATTTGAAATGCTGGTGATTAAGCTTGGGACTTCGTATTAATAATGCAAATGCAGTTCTAGGTTTTGGTCCTAGCATTTTTCCTCTTCTGCTGTAAAACCACTGAAGGCAATCATCAGGTGTATTCCTGTTAGCTGTTAAATCTGCCAGTTACTCTTTAACCTACTAAACAGCTAAGGAAAAGGCTGTTATGTGTCCAAAAACCACCACAAGAATTTTTATGCTTTTCAACTCTGAAGAGGGAGAAGTGAGAGTTACATACTTTCGTACAACTGCATAGATACCAATTCCAGATATCAGGAACAGCAAAAGCACCCCTACTACTGGAACGATTATGGTAGTAAGATTCAGTCCTTAAAAAGAAATGAAGATGAAAAGTTACAATATACTGAAAACCCAGCTGGAAAACTAGCTTGAAGGTTGGACTACATATCACATAGTACTGGTATATTGGGGGGGGGGGAGTATGCAGAACCCAGGAAACAGTGGGACCTAATTCACATTATTGAATCCTGGCTTAACAAGCAAGGATATGCACAACCTCCTTGCACCCTTTGCTCCCATTTCACTCCTCCCTTCACGTGATCGGGGGGGGGGGGGAGGTAGCTGCTGTTAACCATGGCTTCTTGTTACGTACAAACCAGGAATTATGCACAATGGATTCCAAACAAGCCAAGTTTTGAAAGTCATTAACCACAGTTTCTAGCTTGCATGTAGCAGGAAGCCATGGTTAACTGAGGCCTTCTTCTTGGTTTCTTTCCTCATTTGCACAAGGGAAAGAGTGCAGCAAGAGGAATGAGGTTGCATCGGGGTGCAGAAGGCTTGCCCATATACAGGCTTAACTTATGATTTGATTATGTGTTCCACTGTGTTGAATACCACTCCGTGTGCTCAGACCTGCACCCACTTTAGATCGGTATTAAGCATTGGCTACCTCAAGTTATATGATCAAGCCTTGTATATATCCAGAACACAAGACACTCTTTCTGGTCATTTGGCCCTCATAAAGTAAAAAACATGTAGCAAAGACAGGAATGTGCTCTGACAACCTCACCTCAATTAATTACATTTTGTTCACAGGCATTTGAAAACTGGGATTCAAAAAGGTGGTTTGCACTATCATTTCTGAAAAGTTGTCACAGTCTGTGGTAGGAGACCACTGTGAAAAGTTGTGTTAAGACTTTCGCCCTCCGTTAAAGTTAGGAAAGGTGTTTCCTACCTAAGCTGCCTTCTTCTGAGGGTATGGGCTCTGTGATGGTTCTGTCTTCTTTTCTAACCGAGACACCTGTGCTTTGACTTGGTCTCTGCCAGAGCGGATGCGTAAGGGAGCTGTTAACTGCAAGACAAAAGGTGGAACTAAGTGAACCTCAACACATTTGAAGGGCATTCAGATCCTGCTGCCAATCAAACCTCTCCCCGCCCCCTGAATGGTAAAACAGCTTACCTTGGTTTATGCGACAACCAATAAGTTCCACCTTCAGAGCTATTCTTTTGTTCCAGCTCTGTGGAATAATTCTCACGTAGCGGGCTACTATGGGGGGAATGAAATTATTCCGGACTATGTCTCCATGATTAGAGTTGGCTTTGAATACCTGTGGTTTGAAAGGAAAATGAACCACATTATTTGGTTTAAAGCCAATGAACAACAACTCCTCCCCTTAAAAACACAGAGGATAAAAATCAACAGCAGCCTGTGCTGATTCGCTGGGGGATGGCGGGGAAAGACCTCAACCCTCCAGAGTTTAAAGCTTTTCCTCCAATATGTAGGCAGTCCTAAACCGGAGCAGTACAGCAGTAAAAAGAGAGTTTGTGACCATCTGAGCAGCTAATTGCACAACAAGGCTCAACTCCAAACAGTCCAAGGCCAGCAAGGAGTAGTTAAATCTTCCTCCTCCTTCAGATTGTGGCAGAGTTTGAGGCTGGATGCACAGCAAGCTGCAGAGTCAGCACTATACCACTTTAATTCGGCCGGTAGAGCCAGTCTCAGCCTGAACAACTGAAGGGAAGGCTTTAGCCCTGTACTCCTATCTAGCACAATTCTCTCCCCCACCCTTTACTGGTGCCTGTTTCCTTTCCTCAACACACCATTAATCAATGCCACTCTTTTACTGTTTCTAAAACTGTATTCCTGCAACAAGTCCTCCTCCCACTTCACAAACAGTGGAATGGGCGCCTGCAAAATAATACCCTTCTCCCCTGCACGCTGCCCCTCCAAGTGTGCAGGTACCCCATGCCCTGTCTGTTGTGGGTGATCCTGCTTCATAGTCCAGCTGGTTGGCATGGGCCCATCCACTTTGCTAGTAACGGGAATTAAGTATTGGAAACTTCAGTGTTGTGGGGTTGGAAGAGCAGCACATTTCACATTTTAGATTTAAAAAGTGACCACCACCAAAGAATGGTATCCAGCTGGTAATCCCCCATGGACAGAAGACCCTTTGATCCAGCAGAGCCTTCTGTCGGCAGAACAAGGATCAAGGTGATCTTTGGCAAATGCCTCCTCACCCCTGCAGTCTCCCCATTCCCCTAAGATCAACTTCTGGGGGTTAGGGGAAGTTTTGGAATTGTGTGGGGGTGGAGACACACGGGGATCTGCAAGGGAAGGAGAAATTGCCAAAGAAGCCGGAGCGATGGCTAGATGGCCGTTTTATTTTTCTCAAAGCGTTCTTGAGATTTTCTTCTGACAGGACGGTACTTATCAGCACTGCTAGTGGAAAGCAAGATAAACATACTACTTCTTTTAAATTAATACCATTAAAACCCCTCTCTTTTTATAATTCTTAGTATAAGGTTTCACAGAAGGCCTAATATTAATTACAATCATATGTTGATAGCCCATACTTTTATTCAACTATGTGGAATACAGCGCTTTTGAAGTATCTTTGCAGCAGATGGATTTCCCATGTTGTGCAATGCAGCTAACTCAGTAATAATAAAAATCCAAAACGAGTATATGATGCTGGGAGATAATAACATCTCCAGATTTGATCTCTAACTTGCCCTTTGTATTTAGGGGCAAAAAAGTAAGTTTCTCTCACTAAGCTGCAAGCAACCTGAGACTTTATCAGAGAGTTTGCTTGCAGAGTGTTTGCTTTATCTCCTACTGATAAAGGCTGAGCTTCTCCAATTCCTATTGTAGGTCAAATGAGCAGGAGTCCATGCCTCTTCTAGACTGATTCATGGAGCTGAAAAAGGGCATAGGAATGTAGATGTGCACTTGAAAACACACCCCACATTTAAAGTGCATCTCCCCTGTAAAGAATCATGGGACTGTAGTTCAACTTTGACAGAGCTACAATTCCCTGCACCCTTAAACTACAGTTCCCTGGATTCTTTGTGGGGGCAGATGTGCTTTAAATGTCGTGCACACCATCACAGAGCAAACCTTGGAAGTAATTCCCACTGCTTTCAATGGCCCCTAGTTTATTGTATGGTGTGCTCAGGATTGCAGCCTAAATATTCTGTATATATGCCTGCCACACCTTATCAGATCCTTGTGCAATTACAGCCTTGTGCTAGAAACCAGAAAAGTCCCACTTTCAAGACAAGGGGAGAAGGGGAAATAAAATGGAAGATTTCTAACACTTAAAAGTTGTAAACATAGATTCGAAAAAAGCTGCTCCACCACAAGCAGTAGTTTCACAGAAAATAGTTCTCAAATAATGTTAAAGTATATGCAAAATCAGCTCACAATACAAGCAGCTCTTCCCCACCCCCACACCGTAGGTTGTGAGTGAAGATTTTAAAAATACAAATTGTTATCTACTGGAGGGCAAATAACAGTCTAAGATTTGAGGGGCAAGAAACTGTTGCATCACATATAGGTCTCCCTGAAAACAATCCGATTTGCTTCCCCCACAGTGAAATTTGAAGAAGGAAGAAGGCTCTGTCTGTGGGGTGGGTGGGGGTATGTATATGCAAAAGCATATTTTACTGTACCTATAAAGAAAGAAAATGGCAAAGAGGGCACTTTAGTACACTGTCCTGCTTCTTCTCATAGCCCAAATAATATTTTTTCCTGCCAAACTGCTCATCCAGCTTCCTCTAGTGAAGAGGAATTTCTAGCCTCCTTACAAATGTCTTCAAATGAAATCATTTCCCCATGGCGAAACTAGACTGGAGCCTTCCTAATGTAAGGGACAGGGCAAATTACCCAAGCCGCAACTAAACCTAGACAGTGCCCCGTGTGCAATGAGGATGCTGAAAACCCACTGGAGTAAACAAGATTTGAGTATAACAGTCCAATAGCTCTAGCTGTCTGAAAAGGATGGAAGATGGAAGTTGGGCTGCAGGAGAACACACCCCCCCCCGGGCAACCACCATTTCCCCCTTGCCCTTTATCTCCCCGCTTCCCCAGTTACCTTTTCTTGATTGCTTAGGATTCCTTTGTAAGTCCTCCATTTTGAGTTGTTATTTTTATAGTTGACAATAAACGTCTTAACGTAATAGTTAAAATTGAGCATTGTGGACCCTGTGGTTCTAATTCCTTGTAATGAAAGAAAAGTAAACAAAAGGGATCTGTTTTGGTCTGTTGGTAAATAATAGTAAAATAAGCATACATTTCCTTCAAACAATAATCACTCATTTATATCTGCAGCAAAATTAAGAAACGTCACCACCTGAAAACCTTTTGCTTTCTACTATATTATTTGTAAAGCCATCCTCAAATGTACATGCTAGGGCTCTCCCACTGTCAATAGCAATAGGGGAAAGGCTCTCCTGCACTTGTGAAGCTCATCTGGAGCATCACACTTGCACAGGCTCTGGATTGCAGGAATCATTTTTACAGGCATGTGTCTCTAGTGAGCATACCACAATCTACAAAACCGATAATGAAAACTAATTAATATTTGAACAGACATGCCACCCCTTCTTGACATTGGCAATTTGTCCAGCAAAACTGTAAAAGGACGCCAGCAACATGGACTCAATAAACAGTTGCAAAAATGGGACAAAAAGGAAACGGGGTGGTTAGGTCAGCCTCAGTTATGTCCATAGAATAAGTGGGATGGCTATAGGTCTGCCGGAGTAGAAGTGAGGCCACAGCCCACCCCTCTTTGACCACTGAATGTGACGGGTGAATCAGTTTCAAGTAAGCTGCTGAGCAGGTTCTCAGCAAAAAATAAATAAAACCAATAACAGGCCTCTAGCTAATTACAGGCGTTTCTGTAATGTGGAAAGGGTCCCCATACCCAAGTGTGCAATGGCTCATCTGAAATTGGGATACCAATTATAATTACATTTAACACTCATCCTGCAATTGCGTGTGTGGTTTTTCTTACTCAAAAGCAAGCAAAGGGAACCCGATCCAAAACATGACTGAGGTACAAAGAGCCATGCCACCCTCCCCACAAAAGGTTCAGGCCCCTTTCAGCAGCTACTGATAATAAAAAAGAAACTTTAGAATCCCTATTGGTGTTATTAGGAGGTGTGTGTGAGAAAGTGGGAGGGAGTCTTGGGGAGCATCACAGTTGGGAAGGAAAGGATTAAACCTAATCCTAATCCACATCACCCCCTATACACAAAAGAAAAGAGCACATGCACAGCTGCAGCCTGCAGCTTATGTATTAAAAACACAATGCATAGTTTGATCAAATCCAGAATAGAACTACACTCTCACCACCAATCATGGTAACAGTGAATGTTGTCTCTAGTTGTTGGGTATTGGCAGAAGATGTGAGATGTGGAACAATGGGAGGTGGTGGGGCACATGTGAGAGTGTGTAAGGCAGGGCATGGCCAGATGTGGTTGCATTTGTGTAAGCATGGCTCTTTGTGTGAATAGTGACAAAAGAACCATTTTCAGGATGGGACTAAGTGTCCTTTATCAGGGCCCTGCAAATAAATTCTCACCCAGTGTTGTGCAACCTGTTATCTGGGTGCAGCAATTGGTGCCCTACTCCCCTGCCCCCAGCCTTAAGCTATTATTTACAAGAACAGCAAGTCCTAGACTTCCAGCATAGTATGGCAGGCGTAAGGGAAAACATCTAAGGTGCTCCTGATAAGATCAAATTGAGGGATATATGAAAAGAATGGAGCCTCATTAACAACCCAGAAGAATTCATATATATTTAGTTTTGTTTGTCTAAAAGCTTTAGAAGAACACAATTATAACCAATGACAAGATTCCAAAAAGACGATAGAAGATGCAAGTATGAGGAATTTCTTTCTGCATTTCAATGATAAAGGCTTATTAGCTGTTGATAAGAAGAGGACCTCAGCCCCATTGGGCCTTCTGCAATTTATCGAACCATAAAACATTTCCCATTTGGTTACTGGAAAGGCATATTGCTCCTGAACTGCAGCTGTGTGGGCAGTAAAATTTGGCCTAAAGGCCTTTCGGGGGGTGGGGTGTATTTCAATTGGTCTTTGCTAGTTTTAACAACTCAATGTTGTAAGTACCTACATTTTACTCAGAGTAGACTCATTGCAATTCATGGTCCTAAGTAAGCAATGTCCATTAATTTCAACAGGTCTACTCCAAGTAGGATTAACATTCGATACAACCCTTAGTTGTTGTTGTTTTTTGGCAGAAAGTAATTGTTGCAGTGTTACGAGACATATATACATTACATTTGTAAATAGCCCTTGCTCGAAGTACCATTTGAAACCTCACTTAAAACCTGAGGAAATCTAGCTTACAAGAACAGTAAGCAAGCTGCATAGGGTCACAACCGATAACTGAACGACACTAAACTCAAATCTAACTTAAGAGACGTACTCTTGCTATGACAGACAACTGACCTGTTATTCTTCTCCTTTCTCCCAGGTCAATTTCTAGCCACTGCCGAGAGTTGCTCTGGTTTGCTGCCCACGAAGGCCCTTGGACTTTGAGCCAGGCCCTAACAGGAGACCACGGAACCACCTCCCCAATGTCATTGGTTTCATCCCAGAATGATGACGCCGTGATCTGACCATTGGATGCATTTCGTCCTTCTAGGTTCAGTGATTGATTGCAACCTTCCAAAGTGAAAAAAAGGGAGGAAAGTGTATTTTCAGATAACGGTATTAACTATGACTATAATCAACAACCTAGAAGACTTGATTAATTTCCCCCCAAATATCATTAAGAGTTTCTGAAAATGCTTTCTTTCTCTACCCACCCATGAGCCCTAGCCTAACTCCTGTAATATTTGCTTTTATCATTATTATTTTTAAATGAATATTTTAGATAGGTTCTTTGTAAACTACTGGGAGATCTCCTGTAAAGTAAGTGGTATATACATTCTCCGTTAACAAGCAAACAAAATAAAGTAGTTCATTGTATTCGGCCCCAAATTGTATTTATTTTAATTGGAGAGTGCTTTGGCTTTTCCTGGATTATGCATTAATAATGTCTAAAATGAACAAAAAAATAGCCTTACCATTTGAGTTAAAAATAATCCGCTTATCTGACAGAGAGCCACTGTAAGAAAAAGAGATGACATTATCATTTTGATTAGCTACTCATGTACAAGAAATTTTAAGCTGAAATAGTTCTGCTTTATTCTTACCCTGCCTTTTGATCCTACAACTTGATGCACCAAAATAAATACTTTAAAGTACTATACAGTTCAGGGATTGGTTGTGGATCATCTAACTCTGGCGAACAATGACCAGACCATTAGGGAGCCTCATCTAAGGTGCTCTGGGGTTTCTCAAAACAGAGCAGGATGTAAGTACAGTATAACAAGAAGCAGTTGACTTGAGCTTAACTCCCCACTTGAAATCAACGAGGCTTCAATACATTGAACTCTGGCTTGAATATGTCCCATAATTTTCTGTGGGAAGGGGACATGCAACTTACACGTTTTTGGAGCTTTTTAGTACAATATCTGAACTTTGGGAGCCATATGAATATCAAGGGGGGGGGGAGCCAAGGATACAGTTGCAATTTTATCATAAGCCTGCAGAACTCAGTGCACTTTAAATCTAAACATCTCTCAGTTTATTAACTCAAAACACCCAGAGGATAGATAGTGCCTGTCACTATTAACAGTACCTAAAATGAAATCAATTGTGCAATTGAGCTCCCCCACCTCTCTTCCCTCCCCTCGCCCACATCTTCCCCGAATCTGCTCTGGAGGGTTGGGGTAGCCCCTAGAACAGATTTATGGGGTACACAAAGGGAGAAGGCAGAATGAAGTATCAGTGTGCAAGTGGATGGATCGTGCAAGTATCATTGTGCTGATGGATCACTTAAACTGGATACCACCCATTGTTTTTCTAATTCGATCCAAAGGGAAATTATGGGTAATGGAAGAGTTCTTGGTTTGTTTGCCTACTCATGTGAAGGGAGGATGAAAGCAGCTGTATGCACAATGCCTGTTCACATCTTGGCTGATTAAGTGAAAATATGATGCTCCAAACATGGCCATTTCAGTACATAGTTTGGACAAAACAATGGTTAAAAAGAGTTTCCGACTCACACAAAGGAAGGACTGAAGGGGCTCTGTGTGCAGGAAAAAGGCTTGTGTGTATCATGGCTGACTAGTACACACATTATGCACGAACACAACCAATACTTACTCCTGAGAAAGGATGCCATTGGCTAGGATTCCTTGATACCGGCTCGTTCCTTTCAGTTTAATCACACTAATCTGACCACCCAGTTCGTCTGCAATTACTCCAGCGTGTATGGCAGATTTGCACAATAAGGAAGTCTTAGGTGCAGAAATCAAGTGAAAAGTAAGGCAAGATTTTAGTATTCAAACAAACTCACAGTCAACACAACAAAACAAAACGAAGAAACGCGGTGCCCTAAAAAAATTCAAGTCAAAAATGCAAAAGGAAGTAGCAATTTTCTGTATGCTAAATTACCTAAGTTAAATGTGAAAACATGCTGAAGAGACTTAAGACAAATCTACCTGTTGGACAAATATATTCTAAGGTTAATATTTTACAGTGTAGTAATCCTCCCCCACACATGCTTCCTCAGAAAATAATTAACTGAGTGTCATTTCCACATCATATGTGCAGAAGAGTAAAACAACATGCTGAAGATATTATACTATATGCAGGGCAAGGCTGAGGAAAATGTTCCTAAATTTGATTATTGCTATTAAAAGCAGATCAGCTACGCCCATTTTGCAAACTGAACAACAATAAGTTGTACCTGAAGAACTATACCTATTATACTGTGACCTGAACAAAAATAAATGGCTGAGTTTACAAGCCCACATGAAATGTGCATGTATGAAATGCATATGCACATATAATCTGTAACACTGTTAGCACTAACAGAATAGCTGACCGCCATAATACTTGTTGGACATATCAATTATGCACAATTCTTTTCCGATTCCATACTTTGTAATTATGATTGCATAGTAGTAGAATAAATGATTTTCTAGCCAACATCTTCAACAAACTGAGGTAACCTAAGAATAATTTACCAGTTCTTCCAGTTCTCAAGTCTTCAGCAAAATGCACTAACTTTCACTGTGCACAACTGGTTGTTCTACTGGTCTTTGAGCCCAACATTAAACTTTTAGGTTGTGCTTATCTGCAATAAAAAATTCTTCAGAAAGCAATGCTGTCATTATCTCTACCTTTCTGTAGACCAGTGTTTGCTAGCCTGGTGCCCACCAAATGTTTTGGACAAGAACTCTCATCGGCCCCAGGTAGACCGGCCAATAGTCAGGGTTGATGGGAGTTGCAGTTCAAAACATCTGGAGGGCAGGAGGTTTGGGAAGGCTGCACTAGACCTTTCCTTTATCCCATGTACTTACATCTCTGTAGCCTTCCACTATATTCCCAGAAATATCACCTGCTATGTCTCTGCAACCAGCTGGACAGTACCTGCTGCCATGGAGAAAAGAGAGGATCTTGTTGTGACTGGTGTACAATGCTTGCACACATGCACTTTGTAAAGCAAACAGCGTAAAGATAAAGTTTTTTCTTCTTCTAATTTCTAGCATATTCATGTGCTCCAAATGGCACAGGTAGCTACATAAACAGCAATGGAAATGAATTTTGTTCTGCTTAGTTACTTCTACCATTTTACATGTTCAGGGAACAATAGTAATTGAAGGAAAGGTAACACAGCACAACTACATTTTGCACAAAGCTGTTCACACCTTGAACAACTGGCTTACATGCCATTACTCTTTAAACTTACTGCAAAGGATATTTATTCAAGAGAACTGAGAAACAATTTAAACTGACATGGATCAGCTTTCAATCCTCCAGCCTGATCCTGCAAGATGCTTAGAGCTTTAAAACCCAACCACCCCCGAGACAGGAGTATTCAGTACCCAAAGCACTGCCCTAATTTCCCTTGGCATTACTGGTTATGCTACAGATAACGGCTGTTCAGTGGTCTGAAGCTGCATTCCTTAATTACTCTGGAATGCAAAGTCTCTCTCCAAGGAAGACTTCATTGCCTCTCCCATGTAAGGAGATAATCACAGATTTAGATACCTCCGAGTATCTTCAGAAAAACACATTCCTGTGGTTGGCAACAGGGTTCCAAACGCAGCACAAACGGTCATGGACTGTATCCGGCTACAGCTGTAAGCATGCTAATTGCAAGATGCAACATGACAACCAGAGTGTATTGCCACCAAAACCTATATTTACCTGAATTCCTTCTCCACGTGGTGGTTTGCTCTCTCCAGACATGTGATTAGATCTGTGAAAGGTTTTTTAAAAAAAAAAGCTATTTGGGAATCACACAGTGAAGATGTGGATAGTCAATTCCGGCTGAAGTGTTGTTTTCTCAAACCTCCCTCAGCAGCCACAGCACCTCTTCAGTGCTTCCTTCTGCCAGATGTCTGCTCCCGGCTCCCCCCACCACCTGCCCAATTTGTTCATCTGGATACACATTTTCTTCTGCACAGGAGCAATTGTTCCAGAATCTGCCCTCAAAGCAACAACTTCATTGAGAGATCAGTCACATCCTACTACATCCTGAAGCAATGGCCAAGTGAGGGTGGTAGAAAGAATTCCAACAGACATTTTTGGAATATTTTTGTACAGTGAGGATTTTGTTCCAAGGCAAGAGGGAGGCCTGAAGCAAAAAGATTTCAGCCCGAGCGATGCGTCTCAACTACCATGAAAAAAAGAGTTCTCTTTATGGAACTGAATCAAAACTTTGTCTGAAGAGAAGTCTTGGTTTATATCAGCTGGTGCTCAAATACCTGGAGAAGATGAAGAAGCCCAGGGATAATAAGGCCTAACCAATGAGAAATGAGACAATGGGATCAAAATTAGGATTCCCAGTTCCATATGGCGGCCAATGCACTTAGATGTTCAGGTGCATGAAAGAACCAAATTTCATCAGTGCCATCTATCAGATGAATTATCACATTACTGTACTGAAATAGCATCCAGACCTTGATTTCTATTAGAGGGAAAACAAGCGGGTCAAGCAGTTGGCTAAGGGGCCAAACCTATAAAACCAGTTTGAACTACTTAGAAAACTTAAGCACATTCATCTACGCCAGGTGCTTTTCTAAAACATTTGCTGCTAATATCAGGCAGGGTATTACCTTCCACTTCCACAGCAGACAAGGCAAAGATGGTAAGATGATGGGGTGAGAGAATAATTGCACTCATCCCTGACAAATCTGCTCTGAAAAGGGCAGAAGCGTGGGGCATGGAGGAAGGGACAGAGGCTGGATGGAGCGTAGCACCAACCCAAAACCATTAGTCCACGATGATGTGCAGAATTGAACTTTACCTGGATGATCGCTACTAGCAAAGGACAACAGGAAGCCTCTTCCAGACACATGGGACCTGCTCTCAAAGTGAATGGTTGCTTCATTAGAATCTAAGATGATTTCTTCTGGGACAGGCACATTCCCACAGTAGGGTCCTAAATGTAGAACAAATAGTATTTGAAATCATGTTTGTGGCCTAGAAACAATAAAGCGTACAAATGTATTCATTGTCTACATCTATCCATGTGCATAATTAATTGATTTTTGTTTGTAATCTTTGAAGTTACTCAGACCACCAAATTCTTGCAATTCTGTGTTCAGTAGAAGATAAAAGCTGGCATTAACATTTCAAATTGTTTTAGCTTCGTAGACGGCTGGGGCTCCCTAGCCTTTGAAGCACAGCATTCTTAAAGTGCAGCAATCCATTACAGAAAGAGTACAACAATCAAAGGCAACTGAATATTGCACATACTCTGAAAGATAGCATCACCAGGTACAAGTTTTAAATGCAATCACAACACAGGGAAAAAACAAACTCATTTTTCTTGAGATGGCACATTGTAATAAAGGCATATAAAATAATTCTATATTTGAATACTTAACTGTTTAGTCTTAATTTTTTAAAAAGAAATCATATTGTTTTCTTAAGATTCCCATCTACCCATCAAAATTTAGGGAAACAATCTATTAGAAGTCAACCTGGAACCAGTTTTACTTTTTCACATGAATTATTAGCTATAAAGCACCTTTATAGTTAACTTGTGGGACGCGGGTGGCGCTGTGGGTAAAAGCCTCAGCGCCTAGGGCTTGCCGATCGAAAGGTCGGCGGTTCGAATCCCCGCAGCGGGGTGCGCTCCCGTTGTTCGGTCCCAGCGCCTGCCAACCTAGCAGTTCGAAAGCACCCTCGGGTGCAAGTAGATAAATAGGGACCGCTTACTGGCGGGAAGGTAAACGGCGTTTCCGTGTGCTGCGCTGGCTCGCCAGAGCAGCTTCGTCACGCTGGCCACGTGACCCGGAAGTGTCTCCGGACAGCGCTGGCCCCCGGCCTCTTGAGTGAGATGGGCGCACAACCCTAGAGTCTGTCAAGACTGGCCCGTACGGGCAGGGGTACCTTTACCTTTACCTATAGTTAACTTCTAAAACCAATCAGCCAAAAAAGGCATTACATTTGAAATTATTTCATTAACTGAATTTTAAATTTAAGCTGATATTTTTAATTTAATTTTAATTTAATTAAATTTTAATTTAAGCTGATATTAATTGATTTTTTAATTTAAGCTATATTACAATTTTACAAAAGAGAGGAAACATTACATGAAGAATGATGCTTAGCTCTTGACCACACTACGCTATATACATTCCATCAGTTACCATTTGTCATACATCGCAGGGAAAATAAAATGGCACAAGTCCAGCTGAGTCCAGCTCTGATGCAGGACAGCCAGACCGTCCTTGCCACCAGGTGAGTAGTTTGGCAATGGAGGCCCCGAGAAAGAGAAAAAGTCAACACAGATTGACTCTTGCCATCATTTAAATATGTGAGCACCACGCTGAATTCTGGTAATTTCTTTTTCTTGCTTGGGTGGAGATAGAGGGGGCTGCATGAGAGTGTGCAGAAACCCCTTACTGACCCTCCACCATCAGATCTATCTCCCCACATAGGGCTTCTTAACCAAATGATTTCAAATTTAACTACAGGGAGGAAAAATTATTTGTTAGCCAAGCAAGGATAGATCACTTCTGTTAATTCTTAAATATGTCATGCCATGTGCCACACGAGCTGGCGGGGGGAGGGAATACTGTTTTATAATCTGGACATCATTGTACCTAACCTTCCCACCCACTCCCACATTTTCCCACAAGATTTGCCTCCACATATTTTCCCACAAATATATTTCTGCTGTCTCTTGCTTACGTTTCTCAATGACCTGTCTATTGCTCAGATGTAATTAAGACTGCTGACTCAATCTATGGCTGACTGGTCTGGGGCTTTCAAAGCAGCATACCTGTCCAAATGACGATGAGAACCTATGCTAAAAGCCTAGATGCATGCATGAGAGAGAGAGACAGGTCAGCAGAAAGTCTCAAGGCCTTAAAAAAAGTGTGTGTGGGTGTGTAGACTCTTGAGAGAAAACAACAAGTGGGATGGAAGAGGAAATGTTGTTTGGTGCTTTACAGCAGGGGAGGACAGACATCATGCCTGCAGGATCTACTCTTGCATTTTAAAAGAATTCCAAGATCCACCAGTCAAAGAACTAGAGAACTTTGAGTACTAGGGTTGAACTCAGTTGTTCTACACAAAAATATGCTCCCCTCCCCTGGCCTTCTTCGTTTCACCTGTATAACTTAGGGTGGAGGGAAGAGTCATTTTGTCGTTGTTATTGTTAAACAATTTGGAGTCAGAAACACATGCTGATCTACTATGAATCACTCAGAGATCAAACAGTAGATCTTCATCTACCTTTCTCCCCACTCCTGCTCTACAGAATACAGACAGAATGGAAAAAGTAACCAGCTTCTAAATAATTAAGTACAAAACACAGGAATATGGCAAAGTAATGTCATAAAGAATAAATCTTATTAAATCCAGTTTTGGTTGTTTTTATTATAGTACTATAAAACACATTGCAACTTAAGTGAAAGGCAATCCGTAAATTAGTTTCTGACAATATAACAACAACTGTACCTTAAACATTACCTTGAACAATATTACCTTAAAACAGGACTAGTTAACCTGTAGCCTTCCAAATTCCAACAGTCCATTCCAACATGGCAAATGGTTAGACCTGGAATCCCACATCATCTGGATGTCTACAGGTTAAACACCTGTGCATGACCATACCAAATTACATTAGCTGAGTGGAGAAAGTGCCATCCCAGTCTTGAGCACCCAATGCTCAAGAACAAATCTTAAATAGGACTGGTTTCAGGGTACCTTTTCTTACTTTGCTCAACAAAGAGTTAATTAGAGCTCTAAGTATTTTAATAAATCCAGTCTTACTGGTACATCGTTACATACCATGCACTGTTGTAGAACTGTGGATGCTAAGATAGTTAGATTCACATTGCTGGGATTCAATATCCAAGTCCCCAATTTTCAAGATCAGACGTTTCCCCTGAGGCACCTGAATTCTCGTCTCACAGGTAGTGTAGTTGGGGTAGGTCCCCGGATAGTTCTTAGACGCCAGTGTTCCACTGTCTTGATAGATTATCATAGGCCCACATCCATCTCCTGGGGAGAACACAGAAAGGCGGCAATTAAGAAACCATCAAAGCTGTCATCAATAGGCACATACCTATTTCAAATCATTACACTATTTCAAAATGTAAGTGGTCCTTATTTTATTTTTTTCATTTTAAAATTTAAAGCAGGTTCTCAATAAACTCTCGGAAACAGGTCAGACTGAACGGGGGGCGGTACATGGGCCCCCAATTCAGAAATTACCAAATTTCTGTGTGACTCACACTTCCTGTTTACCATGGAAACCCATCATGTACCAAACTTATTTAAATGCTCCTGTTCTGCCTTACAGTGGAGCAGAACCAGGAATACAGATCTTCTTGCTCAACCAGGTCACTCAACTATCTTTTGGGTGAGCTCTCTCACCGCAGGATAACATGATCTTCTGTATCATCAGGATAAAAGGAAAGGAAGGTTCACCTCATCTTGTTGAAGGGTCAAACGCAGGTGAGCAGCAGAAGGTGTGGTAAAATGTTCATCTGCACCAAGTGACTGCTCTCACTCTGGTAGACATAATGTCCTCACACAGACTCTACAAAACACTGTGCTCCTTGTAAAGAAAAGCAGGGTCCTCCCCACACAGACATTCCATTCCATTAGAACAGGGGTAAGGAACCTAAGAACCAGCAGCCAAATGCAACCCCCCAGACCGCTCTATCCAGCCTTTGAGACTCTGTGCAGGTCACACCCCTTTCCTCACGACCACTTCTGTCGCTCCACCCACTTTTTTCATGTGGAACCACCTACCACCAGCATGTGACCCTATGAGGTTGCTCATGAAGGAATTACATTCTTGGGCCTCTGTACTAGCGCGACAGAAATCAGAAAACACAAGAAAGTGGGATTACCTCTGTCTGGTTTACACAAAGGCATGATTTCGCACGAGCGCTATACAGTGCTTACATTCTGACCCATGGGATTTTTTTTTTGCCTAGAAGAAAATGGTTTAGGAGGAAATGATCCTGACATTAACAGTGAATGACCTAAGCTCGGAGCCTCTTTCCTCCACCTACATGTAGCCTTGGGCTTCATTACTGGCAGATGTTCCCTTTTGTATTCTGAAACAGGATGACGGTGAATTGTCATACTGCCTGCACAGTCCCCTGATATTTCTGCACAGCACATCCAAAAAAGCAATTGCATTCAGAAGTAACAGAACGATTTCTGGGGGAGGGTAGCTTTATTTATCAAGCTTCTCCTCCCCCTCTTCACTCATTCCTTTACAAATACAGCAACTAAGTTAAAAGTCCACCAGTCTCATAGATCTGGGAAGAGTTTCCTTAGGAGCCAACATAAAAGCACAATCCTATACACATCTAATCAAAAGTAAGTTCGAACGAGTTCAATGTGGCTTACTCCCGGGTAAGTGTACAGAACTGCAGCCTTCAGCATACTTCGGAGTAAAAATATTCTGAGTAAATGGGCACAAGACTTTCTGAAAATTGCCTCCTTGGTTCCAGAGTGAAACACCTTTCGCAGTTCTATAGAACGGTATCTGTGTGAAGAGTATATAGTATTCTTCAACAGCCTTCCCAAACCTAGTGCCCATTGGTCATGCTGGCTGAGGCTGATGGGTAGTATGAGCTGTATTTAACATGTAGACCAGGGTGGATTTGATTTAAATCGAATCAATTTGAATCACGATTTAAATCACAATTTAAATCACTAGTCAGTAAGACTGATTTAAATCATTTTTTTTACAGAAAGACTCATTCTTGCTGGTATAATCTTAATATTTACAACCAGATGAAGGTTTCGTTTTTGGAATAATAAATTTTCAGAGTAGTTTTTACAGTTATATAAAAAATTATTGATTTGGTTATACTATTAGAAATACATAGACAGATAATTATGAAATTATTGTGAGGTTTAATAAGTTAACTGTTTATATTTGGACAACTTTTCTGCTGTACTTTATTGGAAGGAGAAAAATAATCATTTCCTTAATAACAATTTAAACCATTTATTTAACTAAAACAATAATATTATAGCATACGTATCCATGTTTGTTAACTGATGTGGTTAAACGGTGTGTGTGTGTGTGTATCTATCTATCTATCATCTATCTATCATCTATCTATCATCTATCTATCTATCTATCTATCTATCATCTATCTATCTATCTATCTATTAGCTTAGACTGAGTTTTAGCACACATGAAAAACAAATCCTTATTTCCTGATGAATAGCCTTTGGACTATAATGTAACTTAAACAGAAAACTATCTTTAGAAAGATTTTTCCTCCAAAAGCATTTTATTTTAAAAATCCAATTTAAATAAAAAAAATCAGATTTAAGTAACAAAACAAAAAATAAGATTTTATTTTTTAAAAAAATCATTGATTTTTATCCACCCTGTTGTAGACCACTTGCTAAAAATATATACATTCAAGTGGTGCACAACTATATATAAAGCATGGTTAAAACCACACAAATCCAATTTCAAAAAACGTAAGATGATAAAATAAGAAACATTTAAAACAAATGTAACTAAGCTGAGATAGAACAGTCGGTAGACTCTTAATTTCAGGGTCATGGATTCAAGCCCCACATTGGGCAAAAGATTCCTGCATTGCAGGAGGTTGGACTAGATGACCCTCGTGGTCTCTTCTAACTCTACAGTTCTATGATTTTAAATAACCTGACTGGACAGGCTTGCAGAAACAGGAAAATTTTCAGCAGGCATCTAACACAGCATAGCAAAGGGTCCTGTCCACAGGCAAGGAGTTACATAGCATAGGCATTGCCACACTGGATAGAGGCACAACTTATCACAAAAACAGAATGGGAAAATGAGTGGCATTTGTAAAAGTGAAAGCTGTAGTCTACTCTAAAATGGCTAGCAGACACCAGTTTAGAGAAGGCTGTTCTAGACACAGATACTTGAACATATAAAACCAGGATAATATAACTGGGGTTGTGATTCCTATTCAAAATACATCAGTGATTGTTTAGTTGGGGAACACCATGCATCTCAATCCGTCCCAAAGCCTCTTGCTCCAAACAGAGGAGCCTTCAGGGATATCCGAGGGTGGATGCAAAGGGAATGCATGTCGGGAATCCCTCCTCCCCATGGGTGTCTGTTTACATTGCCCAATATGGACTTTTAAGGTTATGAAGGGCTTTGTCTGGGACAGCTCACACAAGTTTTTCTGGTTTGACAATCCTGGGCGGCTAAATATTTACTAAGGTTTGTTAGAGAAACAAGATGCTTTGGGGTTGGGGGAAGAGGGAGCCAAAATGTTTGCCCCGGTCCAAGCCAAGGATGTGTCAGTACTCAAGAATTTTCAGGGAGGAAACCAGGTGCCATTGCAAGACAAAAAGAAGTGAACTATTAAAATGCATCATGAATTAAACAAAGAAACCTGATACTTAATTCTCAGCTCTACTTATTGACTACCCTTTAAAATCCTTTAAGGCAGGGTAGATCTTAGATTTAGAAAGACCTGTGTATCAAGGAGACCTATGTCCTCCCTTTCTTCATTTAATTGATTCCTTCCAGCGTCGCACTGCGCTTGGGACCTTCACAAACAAACTCAAAGGGAATGAAAATGACACATTTGTCTTTCTTTCTTTCTTTCTTTCTTTCTTTCTTTCTTTCTTTCTTTCTTTCTTTCTTTCTTTCGCTCTCTTCTGGTGGGAGACACCGATCTGATTGGCAGCATTGGCTGTGCACAATTCCAGCAGTGGCCTTAGCAGATTCTCAGGGGAAAACATTAAAAAGTGGAGCGTTTCTCCACCATCACAGTTTTCTTGAACTGCCCCATCGCATATCTACTGCTACTGGCCTCATCCCACTTAACTTGGTATAAAACACTGGGCACAAAACTTGGAAAATATTGATAAACACACAAATACCAAGATGCTCAATTTTTATTTTAAAGAAGAACCTTAGCTACAATGAATCTGTCTCTCTCAAGTGTTCATATTTCAAAAAGATACTCTAAAACCAAAATACTACTTTAGTGCTTTTCTTTTTTATATTTTATTCTTTTTTTCCCATATAGAAAGTTACATTTGTTACTCAACAATTATATTCCAATTCAACAGAACTAGGGACTTCCTGCTCACCCAACATCAATGTTTATAACCCAAATCACATACAGTTGCAAGTGGTTTTCAAACTGCGTTCCAGGAACTCGGAGGGTCCAGATCAGGAATCCGGGTCCAGAACAGGGATCTCCCTTCAGAAGATAAACTTTTCTGGAAGAGGGTATGCCCACTGGTTTTTGCTACAAATTGTAGAGGAGAGCATTGGCTGCATTCTCTGTTCACTCAGGAAGGCAAAAGGCCTGGCCAGTATTCTACATGAAAAGACTGTGAACTTTGAAGCATTTTGAAAATAATAATAAAAAAATTATATCCTGCTTTTTTTGGGGGGGGGGGAGATGAAGAAATCCTCATGAAGTGGTGAACAAAGCAGCACAAATTATAATAGTGAATAACAAGACAAAAACAGCAATCAAACATCCTCAAAATTTACAATTTGCCCAAAATTTACAATTCGCCTCTCAGGAGGCGACTCAGCGAGGAAGCTGCTCCCCGAAAGCATGAAGCCCGTGAAACTGAAAAACTTGTGTACTGCATGTACGGGAAATGAGTTGTGGGGGGGATTGAATTCCACAGAATCCATTGAACAACAAAGTCTACTGAAAAGTCTCCATAATAACTTAACAAGTTTCACAACTGATGTATACAAGCCCCTGCTTAAAAACTCACATTTCACAATCTAGTCATTCATAAATAAATAAATAAATAAATAAATAGAAGCATTGAATAACTTGCCTTTTTTGAAATAAATTTCACAAGCTTTGTTATCTGGCTCAAGGGGCTTGTGGGGCGGGGAGAAGTCACAAGTGCAGTGATTAAACATCAAATGGCTGCAATCCTACGCACAATAACCTGAACTCAGTGGGACTTATTTCTGAGTAGACACACATAGGATTGGGCTGTGAAACATATACCATATTTTTCGCTCTATTGGACGCAGT